ATGAATTCATCAGCAATTAATAATAATTGTAACTAGCAATGGGTCTCCATTACTAACAATCCCTTTCCCCCCTGACTGTTTTGGTTTGAAGGGTGGAATATAACAGTAACTTTACAAGGTACAGAGGAATAACACCTGAGTCCTCAGGAATGGCAACACATTGGGGGTATCATGGGCGAAACAGTATACTCTGTTATGTCCATGGTACTGCTCATGTCTATAGGCGACGATTACCACTTTCCACCAGGTGGGCCGTCAGCTTGTTTGCCATTCTAAGTTGTATAAAAAAAATAATATAATATTTAAGTATTATTTCATCATCATCATCATCATATCAGCTTTTAACTGTCCACTGCTGAACATGCCTCCCCTTAGGGGGCTTTACTAATAGTTGCCACGCTTGGCAGGCTCGAATTGGTAACCGCAGTTAGGCTTTTAAGATGTTTTAAGACGGATACTGCTGCCCATCCCTCGCCTTTCCTTAGTCGCCTCTTACGAGACTCACATGACAGCAAGGAGTGGCCTATTCTATGCCGGGACCACAAGGCACTTGTCACCATATCACTTTATTTTGTTTAATTCCGCTATCATTCATCATCTTTATTCCTTTATTTTAATTATTATTTGTGGTCGGCGTAATATGATTTTATCCATATTACAAAAAGATTTGGCTTTTAGTTTTACGACCGGCCACCTGCCTGACGTCAACCCTCTTTTTTTTCTTTACGCTATCATTAGCGGAATTAAATTAAATAAAAAAAAAATACTAATAAAAATGTTTATTATTTAGTTTACTTGATTAAAAACGATTATTTTGAATAACATAATTGTTTATACTCACGCATTTAATATTTTTATCGACTTTTTGAAAGACGGTAAATATGTTTTTTTTTTTTTTTATAAAACTACCACAAAACCAAGTCACGTATTCGATTCATTATAATGTAGGCAGTCCTTATACTGGTTTAGAGGTTATGTGTCTTGGATATTACTTCAAAAACCTTGAACTTTGTTTTTCTGTAATGGCTTCCCTTTTACAATGTGCTTAAAAAATCGATCAGAACCATAGATGTAGATTTAAATTGATTAATTAATTAATTTACTCTTTATTGCACCACTTAAAGACAAAATGTAATATATATATACATGTACATATGTATGTTAAGAAGTAGAAAAGGCGGTCTTATCGCTAAAGCAATCTCTTCTAGAAAACCTTAAAACGGTAGTTTTAAGTGTATTTACCAGATTGAGACTTTATACAAAAGTCTCAATCGTTTGCTTGACTTGAAGAAGTATTTTCTGAAGAACCTTATTACTTTTAGGAAAATCTATAAAGAGAGTCTTTACAGACGGACGGAGAGTCCTTGGCTTCAGAAATCGTCTATTATAAGATATCTGGTACGTCCACATTCTCTGATGCCGAGCAGTGTAAAAGCCTAAATGCACACTATTAGTTTAGAGGGAGACTTTGTATAAAAGTCGTTTGCTTGGGTACCTCTGTCCCATTCGTGTTTCTACCGTAAAGCAGTTGTATTTGCATGGCTGTGTTTGGATCTGAAGGATGGGATATAGCAGTGAATTTACAGGGTACAGAGGAATAACACCTGAGTCCTCAGGAATGGCAACGTATGGGGGGGTATCATGGTACTGCTCAAGTCTATAGGCGACGGTTACCACTTTCCATCAGGTGGGCCGTCAAATTGTTTGCCATTTTAAGTTACATAAAAAAAGTGTATCTATTAAAAAAACGCTCATATTTTTTTTTTATGAGTGAAAATGGTATGGTAACCCCGCCTGCGCTAACGGGATACGCTGGCGGAGCACCAGTGAAGGGTGATAGATGAGAATGAAAACAGGCCAGTTAGCCCATCATAATGAATTCATAAGAAATTAACCATGATAGTTTCTAGGGAGAACCGCGAGGAGGTCGACCTGGCTGGGTATATTGCTAGCAATGGGATTCCTAGTCTCCAATACTAACAATCCCTTTCCCCCCAAAACGCTCATATTAATAAAACATATGCAAATAATCGTATGCATACTTTACATACATCTAAGTATTTATAATATTGCATAAGTAAATATATAAAATAATTAACATACTTTTATATATATACATATATTAATACAATATATTTTATATATTTTATTCATAACATATTTTTTTTTGTTTTTACATAACATATGTATATTATTATATATTCAATTATTTACTTATTCTTTATTGACCAAATTACAAAAATGTTCTCTCCCAGTCAACCTTTGGGAAAACAGAAATATAATGATACGGTAAACAGTCGCGGATGCAACGTAGAATACTGCATTTACTGGCTATCAAATTTAAAATATTTGATAGAAAAAAAAACTTTTAGGCCTTCATTTTGATGGTACGCTTCACGTAAGAGTTGGCAAACTTACTTATTATTAATTAATTAATATTATTCATTTGTACATATATATATGCTTATAGTATTCTCTCCCAGTCAACCTTAGGAAAGTGTCAGAATACTCGAATGCGGTACTACTTAATTATTGATATACATACATACCAAAATTGCATATATAAACGAATAAATATATATAAATAACAAATATACATATATGATATGTACTATATTATATACAAAATTGAGAATAATATAAAGCACTTACTGCTCGGATAAAGTAAAAACGTGAGCGTGAACGTTTTTTTTTTGAAAGACGGTTTAGTCGATAGTCTCTTAATGGCATCAGAAAGCGAGAATATATAAAATATACTATATTATACACGAAATTGAGAATAATATAAAGTACTTATACGCGAGTATTCAATATAGTATGAATATAGAATTTACAGGTGTTTAAAGTTACCTGTGACCGTCCTGGGTTACTACAGTACACGTTGTCATGGCAACGCACTGTTTGCACACTCTTGTAGGCGTAAAATGTTGCTACAGCATTGAAAATTCAAACCTACAGTATAATACGTTATATTAGGTCAACGAACAGCCAGTACAGTGGTAACAATATTAAAAAGATTACGTTCCACAAATAAAAAGTAACTTTAACTGTGTTTTAACCAGTCATTTTGAGTTAAAAACTAAACAACTGAAACGATTTTGATTAAATTTCTACGGGATCAATCTGTAGATGTGAAATATCACCTTTCAGATGAAAAAGTAATTTCAAATCGGTTTACAGTTGGCTTAGTTATGAGTAATAAACATAAAAAAATACGACCTAATCTAGAACCTCCGGGGGCGAAGGGATTGTTAGTAATGGAGACTGAAAATCCCATTGTTAGCAATATACACAACCAGGTCGACCTCTTCGCGGTTAGCGCAGGCGGGGTTACCATACCATTTTCACCCATCAAAAAAAAATCTAGAACCTCCTTATTTTTTGGAAACGAATTCGAATTTTAAATGGAATTCGTCACAATAGGCTAATTGACCTGTTTTCATCCTCACTTATCACCACTTATTGGTATCCCAACAGCGTATACCATAGCGCAGGCACCATTTCATTATTTCCTGTCCACTGCTGAACATAGACCTACCCCAGAAGGGAAGCCTTGCCAGTAGTTGCCACGCTTGGCAGGCTAGTTAGCAACCGCAGTTAGGTCTTGGCGATGTTTTAAGAGGGACGCTGCTGCCCATCCTCTGACTATTCAGTTCCCTTAGTCGCCTCTTACGACACCTACGGGAAAGGAAGGGCTGGCCTATATCACACGGCTTTACTATTTTTTTTTTGATGGATGGTAATGGTATGGTGGCCCCGCCTGCGCTATCGGTATACGCTGGCGGGGCACCAGTGAAGGGTGATAGACGAGAATGAAAACAGGCCAGTTAGCCCATCATGATGAATTCATCAGGAACTAACCATGATAGTTTCCAGGGGGAACCGCGAGGAGGTCGACCTGGTTGGGTATATTGCTAGCAATGGGATTCTCAGTCTCCATTACTAACAATCCCTTCCTCCCTACGGCTTTACCATTAAAAAAATTTACTCGTATGGCCGATGACCTTTTATTCCGCCATCTTAAAAGTATACTAAAACCAATAGATCAAGAGTCGAGCAGTTAAATAAATGTTTCAATGTCGCACGTTCGAACCGTGTCGAAATAAACATAATTATGTATACTAGTATATTCATTAACAAACAAAATGGTCATTTAATGGATGGGCTAATGGCTAATGTCGTGCCTTGTACGCATAGGCACTAAGTTCTGATCACGATGTTAACTGTGTGATAGTTTTGAAGGTCATGCCAATATGGCGGACTGTGCCTTATATTTCTGGAGAGCGTCGCGACGCGGCCAATATGGCTGCCACAAAAAATTGCTGTATCTTGAATTTAAATTTTTAACTAACTCCACGGTGATAGAAAGCGCTGATAACAAATTGTTTTTAGTGCCAGCAATAGATGCGTCCGTTGCCATGTTGAATTCTAATATGCTTCGCGAAATTTTATGCAAACTGTAACTGATGATAAACAGTTTGATCGGAGGCACGATGAAATTCTATTATTTCTAAAATATAGAGATGTGAATGTGATACATGAACATAGACCTCCCCGGTGGGGGGTTTTGCCAGTAGTTGCCACGCTTGGCAGGCGGATTGACAACCGCAGTTAGGCTTTAGAGATGTTTTAAGAGGGACACTGCTGTCCATCCTACGCCGTCCCTTAGTTGTCCTTTATGACACCCACGGGAAAGGAAAGGGTGGCCTATTCTATGCCGGGACCACACAGCCATGTGTATGTTTATATTAGTCTAATTATATGTCTCTAATATATGAATATATCAAGTATTACTTTATATTTCCTCTATTCAATAATGCACCGCCTACTTATTTCTCTGTTCGCCTAATGGTCGACTGGTAGAGAACACCGTCCGGTGTTAAGTCCGCCATATGTACATAGAATTTTACTGTGCATTAAAGTTTAAATAAATAAATAAAAGCTAGTAAGTAGTATTTAAAATGACAATAAATGTGAACCATATGCTTCTATTGTTCCAGCAAGGTATCGGAGTGGAGTTGGTGCGAGCCCTCGACTCCCACCCGCCCACCATTTCCAACGTCTTCTGCGAGTGTGACTCCAGAGATGATGTGGTGAGTATTCATTAATTTATTTATTAATTCAATTAATCATTAATTCACATACAAAAATTGTTTCTGACCGAAACAGGTTTTACAGCCGAAACCGAAACCGAACTTTCGGCCTTGGTCTCAGTTTCGGCCGAAACCGAAACCGAAACTTACTGAAACATATTTAAGATTTCTCTTCTATATTAAAATCTAGTATTGTATTTTTTACACAACTATTTACACAAACATATAGATAGTTAAAGGGTAATAATAAACACTAACTAAAGTATGTAACAAATATGTCATATATATTTATATGTAAAAACGTATTAAAATTATGACTTACTCTTGGAAGTAAACTTGAAAAAAAACTTTCAGTTAGACACACACTCAACAAAAACACACACACAAAGTTTCACCGCGGTCGAATGTTTCGGCAAATTTTTGGCCGAAACCGAAATTAAGGCCGAAAGTAGAATTTCTGGCCGAAACCGAAACCGAAAGTTCGGTCGGATGCTACAAAAAATATATACATACATTTCATATGTCCATGGTACTGCTCATGTCTATAGGCGACGGTTACCACTTTCTATCAGGTGGGCCGTCAGCTTGTTTGCCATTCTAAGTTGCATAAAAAAATATAGATACAGCATCAAGTCTCAAAAACGAGTCAGCTAATTTGACAATTAGCCGATTCGTTTTTTTTTTAAATGTTTTATATACTCACGCACACAATGTATCTTGACGTATCTATATTTAATTATTAAATAAATAAAATTACTTTTTACGCATTAAAAAGATGCAAAAATTATAAAACAAAATAAATAATTATAGAAGTTATAAAGGAATCACGCGTAACTTATCACGTAACTTTGTATGAAAAAGTTGAGCCGTTTTTCTCAAAGTATTTGTATGGAGACAGTCTATGTATATAATCTAAAAGTACAAGTTGTATTGGTTAAAATTATCAACGGAACATACTGGGGGAAAGGGATTGTTAGTAATGGAGACTGAGAATCCCATTGCTAGCAATATACCCAACCAGGTCGACCTCCTCGCGGTTCCCCCTGGAAACTATCATGGTTAATTCCTGATGAATTCATCATGATGGGCTAACTGGCCTGTTTTCATTCTCATCTATCACCCTTAACTGGTGCTCCGCCAGCGTATCCCGTTAGCGCGGGCGGGGTTACCATACCATTTGCACTCATCAAAAAAAAAAAAACGGGACGTACTCATTACACCGTTTGATAGCAAGACAAGGATGTGGTCACACGTTGTGGTTACGGCAAACGGCAAACGCGTCCAATGTTTTGATTGGTTTTGATTGACGATATCATTCATGTTGGAACGCATTTGTGCATTTACTAATCTTTAGGGACTTTGTTCACGTGACCTGGTGGTTTTGTAAATTATTTTTTATTTATTTATTTATTCTTTATTGTACACAAAAAATTACAACATATAATATACTCGTATATAAAATAAAGATGTACAACAAGTCAGCTTAACTCTGTAAGAGTCCTCTTCCAGCAAACTCTGAGTGGAAAGGAGCATTAATTTATAGTTATTTTTTTTTTATTTTTACAACACAAGGGGCAAACGAGCATGCGTCTCACTTGATGGTAAGTGACTACCGCCGCCCATGATCACCCACAACACCAAATGCCGTTGGTGATAATGGAATGGTAACCACGCCTGCGCTATCGGTATACACTGGCGGGTTACTAGTGAGGGATGATTGGTGAGGATGATAAGGCAGGTCAGTTAGCCCATCGTGACGAATTCAACGAAAAATTAGTTACGGTGGTTTCCAGGGGGATGGATGGAATGGTGCTATTTGACCCTATTACTGATAATCCCTTTCCCCCCAGACGATATTGATTGACCGGGTAAAGAGTAACCCATGTCCTTCACCGTCCCAAATAGCATATGTCGATTTTTAAGACGCCGTTTAAGCGCCAAGGGGTAAAAATCGACCCCATTTTCAATTTACTTAAAAAAGATGAAAGTTTTTGAGTCGGTTTTTTATTGTTTGTTACCTCATAACTCCGTTAGTAGTAAACCGACTTGGAAAATTCTTTTTTTATCTAACGATCTGTATATACATATAGTAAGATAAAAAAAGCGATTCCCTAAACCTGTAGGGGACACCCGGATTTGAACCGGGGGACCTATCGATCTGCAGTCGATTGCTCTGCCACTGAGCTATATCCCCTATTGGTCTATTCTGTTAAATAACAAATTACATTATTTTCTAAATAAAAGAGCGTAGGATGTTGATATGAATGCCCAGTATAGAATGAGCTCATCAATGCTATCTTTAGTGTTTTATTAGTATTGTATTCTTTAATAGAACTAATATGGTAATGGGTCAAATTAAATTGGACATTTGCTCGCAGCTTAAAATTCGAGAAACTTTAGTAATTTAGTTGAACAGTAACTTTTTTAGTAGCTAAACATATCCGATCAATACATTTTGGTTGATGTTTAAATTTTTTAATAAATGAAACCATTGATTGCGCGACACCATTGAAGGGTTTATCACCCTTCAATGGTGTCCCGTCATATCACCCGTGAATATGAATTCAATGTGACAAATTCATAAAGAATTAATCAGGATGATAGCCAGAGAGACCGCGTGGAGGTCGACCCGACTTATTAGCAATATTTTTTATAATACATAGAATTTTAGAGCAACCAGTTTCCATCACTAACAACTTCCTCCTCCCATACTGATGTTTGTTTGTTTGTAACATTTTATTGTACAGTATACTCTTAAATTATAGAATATAGAGTTCTTAACAAAATAAGTGAAATGGCGGACCTATCCCATAAAAGGGATTTCTTCCAGTCAACCTTTGAGTGTCTGATAAAAACTGTGAATTGGTGGAGACAAAAATATAACTAATTTAAAAGAAATAGAAAAATAACAGGAGTTACCCACAGTTACAACACGAGTCCAATAATAATACTGAATAATAAGACACATCTAAATGATACCTGGTTTTTTTTTTACGTCAGGAAAAATGCATCATGCAGGTCACAGTTTAGGGCCCGTTTGGTTACGTCGGACTCCTACCGGCTAAACGACCTGACGATATACCTCCCAGCTCACAACGACAATGCCGAGGGATCCCTTTTGAAATTGACCTTGACAATGACACGAGCCCCAATGAAGGGTAACTCCACCTAGGGGCGTGAAGGGTATATGCAACACGCCCCCACACGGTCCTCATTCCCCCCTGGTGAGCTTCGGATGGCCCTAACCATTCTCCGCCCAGGACCCGATATGAGTCGATGCCCACCTAGGTAGGATTAGATGTCCAACGCGTCCCCCCCTCTGTCCGCGGAACGCGTCGAAGCGCCGACACCGGGCGCACGGCACTTAGAAGTGCCGCCCACCCGATGGTCTTAATGATACCTAATCTATCTCATCATCATCATATCAGCTTTTAACTGTCCACTGCTGAACGTATACCTCCACCTTGGGAGCTTTTGCCAGTAGTTGCCACGGTTAGCAGGCGGATTGGCAACCGCAGTCAGGCTTTAAAGAAGTTTTAAAAGAGACGCTGCTGCCCACCCCTCGTCTAATACATCTAAATTGGGAGGAAAGGGATCGTTAGTAATGGAGACTGAGAATCCCATTGCTAGCAATATACCCAACCAGGTCGACCTCCCTGGAAACTATCATGGTTAATTCCTGATGAATTCATCATGATGGGTTAACTGGCCTGTTTTCATTCTCATCTATCACCCTTCACTGGTGCTTCGCCAGCGTATCCCGTTAGCGCAGGCGGGGTTACCATACCATTATCACCGATTAAAAAAAAATACATCTAAATTAACTGAATAAAAAACTAATACTGAAATAAAAACAAATAAACGAATCCTATAAACTGAGTTGTGACCATTTTGTATTGTTACGGCACACGCACAAAAGGGAAAATTTTACTTGGATTTATGTATTTTATTTTTAATCATTTATGTTATCTCGCTTTTTGTGTATATTTGTGTATGTTGTAATTTGTGTGCTGTAAGTAATGCAAATTGATTATCTATCTGTCTATCTGTTATATCTCTATGCATTATACTTCTAATATTGATGATCTTTTTTTTACAATTTGCAGACGATCACGTGTGACTGCGAAGCCACGCCTGCCTTTCAGCTGAAGGCCTTCAGCCAACGCGGCGAGAAAGTGGAAGTGTCTCATTACAGGGTCAACGTTAACAAGTACGTATATGGGCCAAACCGTTGTCACCCTTCACCTTTTCTCATTTATTTTTATTTGGGGTCGGCGCAGTTTGTCTTCCTCTTTTATAAATCAGGGATTTTTTTAATGGGTGATAATGGTATGGTGACCCCGTCTGCGCTATCGGTATACACTGGCGGGGCACCAGTGATAGATAACTAATGAGGATGAAAGCAGGCCAGTTAGCCCATCCTGACGAATTCTACTAGAATTAGCCACGATAGTTTCCAGGGGGAACCACGTGGAGGTCGACCTGACAGGGTATATTGCTAGTAATGGGGCTATTTGACCCTATTACTAACAATTCCTTTCCCCCAATCATGGGAATTTTTTTTGATGGGTAAAAATGGAATGGTAACCTCGCCTGCGTTAACGGGATACGCTGGCGGAGCACCAGTGAAAGGTGATCGATGAGAATAAAAACAGGCCAGTTAGCCCACCATGATGAATTTACCAGGAATTAACCATGATCGTTTCCAGAGGGAACCGCGAGGAGGTCGACCTGGTTGGGTATATTGCTAGCAATGGGATTCTCAGTCTCCATTACTAACAATCCCTTTCCCCCCAATCATGGGGATTACACGCTATCAGGTCGACCTTCACGCGGTTCCCCCTGAAAACCATCGTCATTATTTCTAATAAAATTGGGTTAGCGCAACCAATGGTCAAGTTAATGGATGAAATGATAGAACGAGTAGATACAGCGCGTAATTTGGGACTGGTAATTGATCCTGAGCTTCGTTTTGAAGCTCACATTAATGATATTGTACGAAAATGTTTTTATAGGCTCAAAATATTGTACAAAATGCGTGACTATCTATCTGTCGAACTGCGTAAGCGGCTAGTTGACACACTTATATTGTCAAAATTAAATTACGGAGATGTAGTGTATGGCCCATGCTTGTTATCAAGGACTGAACGTTTAATTCAGCGTGTCCAGAATGCTTGTGCCCGCTTTTGTTTCATGATACCACGAAGACATCATGTGACACCATACCTTAACAGGTATGACGTACTTAAAATGGCAGCCAGGAGAAAGTTGCATCTCTCTACTTTGCTCTTCGGTGTGATAGTATCTAATCAACCCCACTACTTGTACCAAAAATTAACGTGGAGGCAAAACTACTACATATTTGGGATGCGTGCAAACGTGAATGTGCTGAAAATTCCAAGACACAGAACGGCTGCATTTAGGGGTAGTTTCAGATATGCAGCCACTCATTGCTGGAACAATATCCCTCCACCATGTCGAGACCTGAAAGCGATAGTTACATTTAAACATCACCTAAAAAGACACTTCTTGCGAGAGCAGAAGTGTACATAGATCTCAGTATTTTATCATCATGTTTACTCGTAAGTAGGTGCCCACACTGTCCAACTATGCTTTTATTTAATTTGGTTTAAATGGAGGATACCATACTCGTATATGTATGATTGAATGGAAAATACTTATTTTTTCATATACATATATTTTATTATTTTTTTAATGTTTTTAATTTTTTATATTTACAAATGGTTTTACATATATTACTGAATTTTATTGTTTCTATATAATTTATATTTCTATTGACACATATTATAAAGGTACATATCTTTGTTTAATGGCCTAGGTGCAGCGAAATAATCACTGGTTAGGCAGCATCTTCGTTAAATAAAATTGTACATTAATGTTCATAACGGTAGATACTATAATTATTACTTGTTAAATTGAGTTTTTTTTTTTGCACTCAATGCATGAACACAGCCTCCCGCGTCGCTGATCTGATTGAACAGTAATAGTATGGCTAGGTTAGGTGATAGAACACTATACGAGTATATTGCCATCTCATTTTTCTTTATTCTGTATATGTGTGTGAACGTGTATGTATGTGTATGTGTATATGTGTATATATATGTGTATGTATGTGTATGTATGTATATATATATGTATGTGTCTGTGTATGTACGTGTATGTGTATATGTATATGTATAATGTAGATTTGTATATGTATAGAATACCAACGCACTACTTATATAACTGTTTTTTACTTGTGACGCTATAGTTCTTGCTGAAAAACAGCGCTGTAGCGCTTCAAGCGCTGCAGCAATATGCTGAGCACGGACCTACATCACAGAACATTGCGACACACACGCGCGCACGCGTACATTATAATTTAATTGCTATCTATTTGTATATAATTATTATTTTCTTTTGTTTGTTTTGTTTTTGATTTCTTTTGTTTTTGTTTTGTGCGCTACTGTGTGGGCCGCATGTTTCTTTTGATTAAATTATTTCTTTCTTTCTTTCTTTCTTTCTTATTGTAGACCAAAATCTATTTGCTATAAAGTGTTATTACGTACAAGAGATTCCTAGGCCTCGATATTTTTTTACATTGGTGACTTTTTTTACAGAAATACGGAAACACTGGCCATTAGACAGTTTAATATAGCCGTGTGTAGGTGGCGCCACACAACACTGAACATGTAACATAAATAGCATTGAAAATGGAAAACTATCTTGATACACATAAACAAACAAACAAAATTATCTTAATAATACATTAACGCCTTAAGTTTCCCCCATAAGAAAACCATACTAGCTTATTATTCACCAGAGGGAGACTTTGTACAAAAGTCGATTGCTTGGGTACCTCTGTCCCATTCGTGTTTCAACCGTGAAGCAGTTGTGTTTGCATGGCTGTGTTTCGGTTTGAAGGGTGGAATATGGCGTGAATTTACTGGGTACAGAGGAATAACACCGCATGGAATGGCAACGCATGGGGGGTGTCATGGGCGAAACAGTATACTCTGTTATGTATTTTTTTATACAACTTAGAATGGCAAACAAGCTGACGGTCCACCTGATGGAAAGTAGTAACCGTCGCCTATAGACATGAGCAGTACCATGGACATAACAGAGTATACTGTTTCGCCCATGATACCCCCCATGCGTTGCCATTCCTGAGGACTCAGGTGTTATTCCTCTGTACCCTGTAAATTCACGCCATATCCCACCCTTCAAACCGAATCATAGCCATGCAAATACTGTCCATGGTACTGCTCATGTCTATATGCGACGGTTACCACTTTCCATCAGGTGGGCCGTCAGCTTGTTTGCCATTCTAAGTTGTATAAAAGAATTTTTTTAAAAATTACTAAAGCGTTAGCCAGGCGGCTTGGAATAATATTTTATTTAGAGTTCTCCTCTCTCACATAGCGTTGTAATGGATTTCCCTAATACAGCAAAAACATTTGTAATATTTTCTTATTTTTTTTTTAATAAATAATTCATTTAAAATATGATGATTGGATTTTTTTAATGGGTGATAATGGTATGGTAACTCCGTCTGCGCTAACGGGATGCGCTGGCGGGGCACCAGTGAGGGATGCTAGGTGAGAATGAAAAGGAAGGTCAGTTAGGCCATCGTGATAAATACACTCCAAGTGTATTTATTCAGCACGATGGTTTCCAGAGAGGACCACGTGGCGGTTGACCTAATAAGGTACATTACTAGCAGCGTAGACGGGATTACCATACCATTATCATCCATTAAAAAAAACCACGATCTAATTCCAAACTAAGAAGGGTATGTAATGTGATTACTTGATAATTAATTGAATAAATAAATAACAAGATGGACAATCTTGGGGGGAAAGGGATTGTTAGTAATGGACACTGAGAATCCCATTGCTAGCAATATACCCAACTAGGTCGACCTCCTCGCGGTTCCCCCTGGAAACTATCGTGGTTAATTCCAGATGAATTCATCATGATGGGCTAACTGGACTGTTTTCATTCTCATCTATCACCCTTCACTGGTGCTCCGCCAGCGTATACCGTTAGCGCAGGTGGGGTTACCATACCATTTTCACCCATAAAAAAAATCTTTACAAGGGTTTTCATTGATTCGTTTGTTTGGCAACTATTGGCAAAACCTCTCCATAGGGGGAGGCCTATGTCCAGCAATGGACAGTTAACGGCTGATATGATAAATAATGGTATTTCAGATTCCGCGCTCGCCTGAATGTGGTGTGCGTGACCGACAAACTGACAGGCGAGCTCAAGTGCGACGGGTGGCCGGAAGTGAAGGTCGCTTTAGCCCCTGTCGGACCTCTGAGGCCTAACGCCACCGAGAGTAACTTACAACAACTAGTCAGGTAAGGAAATAAATTTAAAATATATTAGAACGCCATCTAGTTCGAAACTAAGTACTTTGTATTATGGGTACTAGACAACCGATAGAAATACTGTTACGTCCTTAATTCCCATTGTTTAATTTGTGATACCATCGATGATGGCAACATATACTGTTAGAGTGTCGTATAAAATCGAAGGAAAGAGAAGAATTCATGCGTCACTTTAATCTAAATTAATTTAATATTTTATTTATTTATTCAGTAGTACATATATGTGTACATACTATACATATACATAGTATACTCTGCTATGTCCATGGTACTGCTCATGTCTATAGGCGACGGTTACCACTTTCCATCAGGTGGGCCGCCAACTTGTTTGTCATTCTAAATTGCATAAAAAAAAACATGGCGGACTTAACGCTAAAAGCATTCTCTCCCAGTCAACCATAGGGAAGTGTCAGAATACTCGAATGTGGTACTACTAATTATTGATATACATACATACTAAAATTACATATATAAACGAATAAATATATATAAATAACAAATATACTTACACATATATAACATATACTATATTATACACGAAATTGAGAATAATATAAAGTACCTACTTAAAGTACGTGCTCGGATAAAGTAAAAAAGTGAGCATAAACGTTTTTTTTTTTTTTTTTGAAAGACAGTTTAGTCTCTTAATGGTTATTAATAATAATAGCAAAATAAGTAATATTGGTCTTATTCAATCTATATCAGCTTAACACAAGTGAGAAATTTTTGTAAATAATTGATGCCACATTAATTCCTCTCTTTCCGTGACTAGGGAAAGTAGATAAAACTTTATTTTAGAAATGAGTTCAGGATATACCAGTGCTGATATACCTAAAATAAAGTAAGAGCCCTTAAAATTAAAAAAAAAAAACTTTTATCTATGTAAATATGTCAAGATGTGAGTAATGGTTTACGCGTTCCGATGAGTTTATAAGTGTCTAGCGGGTAGATCCGGAAATGGAAATGTCAAACAGGATTTGATGGTGAAATCATTCTGAAAATTATTAAGATGCGAGCATTTCTTGCATTAATATGGAAAATTAGGTCGTAGGGGACATTGTAGGGCAATGCCCTACTTTAAAATGAAAGGCCTCAAGAAAATTTGATGGATTCGATTTTCGAAGTCACCTAATTATGGCTTTTGACCTACCAAAAAGTTCTTTTGCCTTTAAACTTGGGTCTAGCTACGGCCCTACGACCCATAACAATACTTTCTGAAAAAATACATATATTATAAAAATGCCTACAACAATACAAACAAACGACTCATTATAAAAATGTTTGTCCTGTTGTCTGTGAAATAATTGGCAATTGACAAAGTTTAAAATACATCTTTATAAGTTAAAACACATTTGTACTATTGACCTACAGATTTTTCTTTAACTACTATCTTTTACGCGTGACTTCGTCCACACGATCGGATTATAAACGCTGGCCGTATCTTATAGACAACATGGCGTTAATAGTAAATAAATACGACGTCATAGCGACGTCCGATGTCTGGTGGTCTACCATGAAATGAAATTCCGAATTTTCGCGCTCAATTTCGTGTTTTTGTTCGTACCAAAATCGACCTAGTAAATGAAACTTAATATTTCGTTCATCATAAATCCTATCCTAACAGTCCAGAAGAACGATATTTTAACATTTTTAAAAATTTTAAACGGCATGTATTATGTAATTTTACCAGAGGGAGACTTTGTATAAAAGTCGATTGCTTGGGTACCTCTGTCCCATTCGTGTTTCTACCGTGAAGCAGCTGTGTTTGCATGGCTGTGTTTCGGTTTGAAGAGTGGGATATGGCGTGAATTTACTGGGTACAGAGGAATAACACCTGAGTCCTGAGGAATGGCAACGCAATGGGGGTATCATGGGCGAAACAGTATACTCTGTTATGTCCATGGTACTGCTCATGTCTATAGGCGACGGTTGCCACTTTCCATCAGGTGGGCCGTCAGCTTGTTTACCATTTTAAGTTGTATAAAAAAAAAACAAATTTCTGTTCTGTTCGTCTCCGAAATTTCAGAATATATTCCATGGTAGGCCCTCTGATGTCAGCTCGTGGACTCGCCTGTGTTAATGTGAATTCGCTTATCACTTGTCTAGAGGAACTTGTCTTGATTATTTATTCTTATAGTTATAATGTGCATACACCCTTATGCTTTATAAATTTTGCATCCACAGTGACATAGTGGTGAGTGCCCTCCGCAACATACACTTAGAGTTCAATTTGGCGCAATACCCGACGTGTCCCAGGCTCAGGAGGTACGTGGACACCGCTCCACGGTTGCCCCTTCATTATGACTCCATGGTAAGTACCAGCAGATTTCTTAATACATGAAATTTAAGCAGCGAGATTTAGTAATGTGCGATAGTATCATTATACCTTGTTAAAACAACCTCAACTCTCTTGAAACCATGGTTATTTTTGATGAAACTTCACAATGGGGGCCAATTGACTTCCTTTAATCCTCATTCACCATCCCTTACTGGTGGCCCACCATTGGTGTCCGTTCTAATACAAGCAAGGTTGCCATTCATTAAGCATTTAAGATAGTGTTTCTTAAGACACCAACTTTTTTTTTTTTGATGGGTAAAAGTGGTATGGTAACCCCGCCTGCGCTAACGGGGTACGGATAGGGTGATAGATGAGAATGTAAACAGGCCCGTTAGCCCATCATGATGAATTTCTTAGGAATTAACCATGATAGTTTCCAGGGGGAACCGCGTGGGGGTCGACCTGGTTGGGTATATTGCTAGTAATGAGGTTCTCAGTCTCCATTACTAACAATCCCTTTCCCCCCTAAGAAACCAACTTCAGTTGTGTTAAAACCAGGTATTTTAATTTAAAATCTAGACTACTGAATTGTAACTGATTTTGATCATATTGCTGTAGGGTCAGTCTGTTAGTAACATAAACATAGGCCCACCATAGATTCCCATAAGGAACAGTCCTAAACCACCTGCATCCTCTAACTCCCTGCATACATTGTGGTTATCACTGCATCTAATAGAGAAGTTATCATAATGCTTGTCTGTACTGATTCGCCACTGGAGAAACATTCGATCCCATCAGTTGATGAATGTACTATTATGGTTTCCAGCTACAGCACGACCGGCAAATGTACACATCGACACCCAACTCGACGGCCGGCAGCGTGCAACTCTTGGGCGACAAACGGTTGCTTGTCAAAGTCGTCAGTGCTAAGGACTTGGGAGGTGAGTAAAGTCGAAAAATCCAAAATATCCTTCGGTATCTTATGATAACTTTGTTTTTATACCACTGAGGTGGCAAACAATCATACGGCCCACCTGATGGTAAGCGGTTACCGTAACCTATGAACGCCTGCAATACCAGGCTTTGCCTAGTGTGGGGTCATAGTTATATTGTACTACAGGCTAATTTTGTTTAAGGAAATAAAGTTATTATTATTATTATTATTACGCGCGCGTTGCCCTGAAGAAACCTCTTTACTCCCCTTTTGAAGAACCCCATGCTGTAGTCTCTGGGGAATCTCGGCAGGGAGCTCATTCCATAACCTGAGTGTTCGTGGGAGAAAACATCTCTGAAACCGCGTTGTACGCGACCATTTAGGCTGTAGGGTATGAGGGTGAACTCCCTGTCGATGGCGAGCCGTACGATGATAGAAAGTGGTCGTAGACGTCATATTGAATAATTTCTCTAAACACAATCCGTGGTACAAGCGGTAGAACACGCAGAGTGAGGCAAAATCTCTCCTAAGACTTAAGGGTTTGACACCGCTTGCAAGCATGGGATCATCGACAATTCTCATAGCTCGTCGTTGCACTGAGTCGAAGGGTTCAAGCTGGTATCTAGGCCCATAAGTGACAGCAATACTCCATATGGGGCCAGATTTGCGATTTGTAAAGCATTAATCGCTGTTCGGCGTGAAGTAATGCCATAAAAGAATATATATGTATAACTCGCGTGTCGTTCCATATTTAATAAATAAATCCTGTACCCAGGTAAATCTGGCTGCATCGCGCCATACTGCGTGGTGGAGATGGACGAGCCGCCGCAGAAGAATCAGACGGCCTTCAAGAAGGACACCACCAGCCCGCAGTGGGAGGAACACTTCCTATTGTGAGTATTTATTTATTTTACAATTTATTGTACCAGGGGGGGGGGGGGGGGGCGGAGACTTGTTAGTAATGGAGAATACCAGTTGTTAACAATATACCTTGTCAGGTCGATCTCCACGTGCTCTCCCCTGGAAGCCATTGTGATTAATTCTGGTGGAATTCGTCGCAATAGGCTAACTTACCTGATTTCATCTTCGCCTGTCATCCCTCACTGGTGCCCCGCCAGCGTATACCGTTAGCGCAGGCGGGGATACCATTTCATTATCATCAATTAAAAAAAAATTATTGCACCATTTACAAAAATAATAAACGCAATAAATATAAATACAATGAATATCGATTTACCTACCTTAATTTCTACCACTACAGACTTACAAAAGTAGCATCATGATTATCATATCAGCCAATAACTGTCCACTGCTGAACATAGGCCTCTCCCATAAGGGGGATTTTGCCAGTAGTTGCCACGCTTGGCAGGCAGTTTGGCAACTGAAGTTAGGCTTTGAAAATGTTTTAAGAGGGACGCTGCTGCCCATTCCTCGACCATAACCTCTGTTAATCGTCTCTTACGACACCCACGCGAAAGGAGGGGGTGGCCTATTCTATGGCGGGACCACATGGCAAATATTATATTTACATATAATTGTATTTATGTATACTCTGTTACTAAGTATATAGCTACTATAATTTATTACTTATCGTGTTATTTTTGCACCATATATGTTACGCTTTATATACAAACCCTATAGACACTGTCTCCTTTCGAGTACTCAGGGTTGACTGGAAGAAATCCCTTTAAGGGATAAGTCCGTCTGTGTACATTTTTGTCATAACCTAATATCTATATTAAAAATGCATATATAAAAGTATATAAATAAATAAACTGCTAATGAAGTGTTCAACTTTTTTGCCATTCGAAAATTATTCAAAAAGCACCCTGTATTAACATATTTCTATTCGTTTTCACTTTACAGTGATTTATCACCGCAAACAGCAGAGCTTCTGTTCGAAGTATACGACCGCACCGGGCCCCCGTCGCCAGGGGGCGGCTCTGCGCAACACAGGTATGTTTGTTGAATGTTTAATACACTTTCATAGTTATATTATTCTCAAAAATGTAGATTTAAAAAAAATTATACTGTGATGATTATTGGATATGCGGCACAGTATATTCTGTGATATCCAAGTTGCCTGTCCCATGTTGGTGATCACTATTACCATTTTCCAAAAGCTGAATGGTTTGCTTAAATGATTTTTCATTTTTAATGAAAAATCTATATATTTTGGAAATAACATAACTGTTACATGGTATTATAATTTACAGGGTACAGAGGAATAACACCTGAGTCCTCAGGAATGGCAACGCATGGGGGGTATCATGGGCGAAACAGTATACTCTGTTATGTCCATGGTACTGCTCATGTCTATAGGCGACGGTTACCACTTTCCATAAGGTGGGCCGTCAGCTTGTTTGACATTCTAAGTTGTATAAAAAAAAAATATCATCATCATAGAGTTTTACTAGGATTATCAGGAATAAAAAAATTTTATGCAACTTGGGACAGCAAACAAGCTGCCAAAATTTACCAAATCGGTCCAACTGTTCTAAAGTGATACAATTTCCAAAGGAAAGCCTTTTTTATGTATTTAAATATTAAGAAAAAATATTTGAAATCATTTAAAAAGATAAATTGAAAAAGAATTCTGTTTAATTCTATTCTCTTCTCAGGTTCCTAGGTCTCGGCTTGGTGGGCATCGATGAATTGCTCGCGGCACCTTCACAGCGGCAGCAGATAGCTCTGCAGACCAGGCCGATGGAGGAGCACGACATCTCTGGTACACTCACGGTTGAGGTATGAAAACAAATAATAAAAAAAAAAAATCAATTTCTACCGTGAAGCAGTTGTTTGCATGGCTGTGTTTCGGTTTGAAGGGTGTGATATGGCAGTGAATTTACTGGGTACAGAGGAATAACACCTGAGTCCTCAGGAATGGCAACGCATGGGGGTGTATCGTGGGCGAAACAATATACTCTGTTATGTCCATGGTACTGCTCATGTCTATAGATGACGGTTATCACCTACCATCAGTTGGGCTACTATATTATTTAATTTAAATAAAATATTAAAACCAATGGAAGTAGTATTTAGTCAAAAAAAGAAGTCTGATGTCAATAGTCAGTATTAATAATACCAATTATTATAGAATATATAAAATATATATAAAAAATAGACAATAAGATTTAAAAGAATTTTGTTTCTCAAAAGCTTCATAATAAATTCAATGGTATCTCTTTCACAGTTTCTATTCATCGAAGGCGCTGACATCCCGGATTTGGGCTCCAGACCAGTCAAGATCAAGGAAAGCCTCCGCACCGTCTCGCCTCAAGGTCACCTCACCACTACCACCAAGACCATATTCAAACAGAATGGTATTTTATACATTTAACTGCAGACTCCACTATACCTACAATATAATATGGCCGTGTGGTTCCGGCATAGAATAGGCCATCCCTTTCTATCCCGTGGGTGTCGTAAGAGCCAACTATAGGGAGAGCGAGGGATGAGCAGCAGCGTCCCTGTTAAAACATCTCTAAAGCCCTGACAACAGTTGCCAATCCGTCTGCCAAGTGTGGCAACTACTGGTAAAACCCCCCAATATATTACGTTCAACAGTGGACAGTTAAAGGATGATATGGTGATGATGATGATGATGATAATGTTTTAAATAGTGTATCTTTTTTAGGCCAAAAATATATGAAATAATTTAATAATTTACAGACAGATTTATTTGGAAGAGAATGGAATAGCAACCTTGTTGTGAATGATAGGTGAGGATGAAATCAGATCAGTTGATTCATCGTTACTAAATTATCTATTTATTTATTTATTCGAACACTAATAGCATATTACAATATATATATAATAAATATTAAATACAATACATTATTAATGCACATTCCTTTTAAAGGTATTCACAGCATTTACTTTAACATATTTGTACAGTATGAAATGAAGTAAACAATTTTAAAGAATTAGGTAATACTAGACTAGAAATATTTTTAAAGTTACATTATTAGTTATTGAAATATACATGTATTATCAGTATTACTAATTTAACAAGAATTAACTACGATAGTTTCCAAAGGACCGCATGGAGGTCAACCTGACCTGATCACAGAACGGACTAACCTCCCAATTATTAATAATTCTCTCCCCTGCGTAATTGGGTACACTGGTGATAATGAAGACTTTATGACTACAGGTCATGACAGTTCCCAACTCACCGAGTCGGCTTTAAGAGAACTAGAACTGAGCCCAGCCAACGCCGCAAACAAGTCAACTCTCATCATCCACTCTGTCCAAAGGGTAAATAAAATCTCCCATGTTTTTACTATGCAGTTTTTGTTATTTAACTAACATTTTTGAGTTGTTTCAAATTTAATACTTACTATTTAATTATAAACACTTTAATTGTTCATTTACAACGAACTATTAAAGTACTCTAGTTAATATTTACAAAGGGTGTTTCACAGGGTATGATTTTTGGACCATTTTAGACTTTTTTAATTACTATTTTTTGTGGACCACAGATAATTAATAGTAAACAGATATTATTGTAGTAAATTATATAGATTTATTTATTAATTTGAACTTTATTGACCAAAGGAATATATGATACAAGTGGTATTTACCACTCAATCAGTATTTAGTTAATATTTGTGAAGCTGTTCCACAAGGTTGAACTATTTGGCTTTTATTGTTTTTTTTTTTTTTTTTTGTTTTTTTATCAACTATTACAATGAGTTAAAGAACTAAAATGTACGCCAAGGATTATTTCTTCGATCTTAAAAGCCTCGCAGCTTGGCAAACACAGTATCCCTCGTTTGTGTGTTGCCTTAACGTGTTGAAGATTGATTTGTCCTTAATAATGTCTAACAAATATTTTGATTTTCCTTCCATCGCCTGCGTGTGCCGTGATGCTTGTTACACGAAAACGCAATTTCAGGAACCGAAGAAATCTATAAAGGTGAGTTTACATGAGCACAGTATAGTTTGATTCAATTGAACTTCTTGAAAGGGTAAGAAAGTTTTGTTGAAATTATCACAAAAACATCTTTTAAATGGTCTTAGTAACAAATCGACACTTCGATCAAATTTTTTTTTATTTGTACTATTCTTGGACATCAGAGGATTGTCTATGGTCAGATCAATATTTTTTTTTTCATTTCATACGGCACGGCACATAGTGCTTCCGCCAAAAACAAAGAATTATTCCTTTGCTTATATTTTCATTAAGTTCCATTGAAACAGACTAAAATGCAGGTGATTAAAAAAAATAATGCAATTTTTCAAAACGGCTATTTAGCTGTCGGATTTTAATACTTTGGCCGCCTGTTGTAAATGTCGAAAAATGAATAATATTTGTACATATAAATAGATAAGCATGTATTGAGATTTGTTTACTAAATAGATTTTTTAGTTTTGTTTTGAATGTCATTTAGGGTTTAATATTGACTAGCGACCTGCTCCGGCTTCGTACAGTTTTTTTTTTTAATAAAATACAGCCTATTATACTCGCTGTTAATGTAGCTTTCTATAGATGAAAGATTTTTAAATTCGGTTTAATATTTATTTATACATTACATAAAATCAAATATTTTTTCCTTAATAGTAGTTTAAATTGAATAATTACGTAATTTTTTTTTAATTAAAAAAATAGTGCACAGTTGTGTTACGTCCAAGTTACAAGATACTTTATACAATTTAGTTTTTTTTTTTATATTATCTGTCAAAATACTAATTTTTTTTTTTTATTTTTGAATCCACTAGTTAAATTTAGCCGTTCTCTAATTAATGTATAGTGCAATAGACATTTTTTTTACGAATTTGATATTATAATGTTAAATCCGTTTAATTATTTTTCATATCAATTTATTGTGCAGTATATTTGTAATAAATCTACAATAATTAATATTACATATAAAACATCTAAATATTTAACTTTTCTTACGTGAAAAACTTAACTTTAACGTAACTTTATATGGGGTTTAAAAATAACCTATACCTAATATGTAAAATGACATTCAAAACAGTGTGTCTGTGTAATGCCTTGTTGTGATACTAACTTTATATCTAAAGGTTGAACTAACTGATTCCGGAAAATTCGTCGAAGTAGAACGCGAGGACTCGCAAGCGACAGCGGCCAGTGTCACAGACAATACAGAGAGTGACATAGACAAATCTCTGCCGGCTAGTCCTAACATGTCGCCCGCTAAAAGTGTTAGAATCAAAGAAAACGGTTCTAAAGTTAACGGCAACAAAGACACGGTAAGGAGTTTGTGTTTTTTTTTTTCTTTTACTAACATATTATTAACCTTTTTAATGTTTTTGATGTGGCACCTACTTTTTTTTTCAATGCATCGTGATTAAAAGGAACGACAAAAAACTTAAAAAAAAAACTTAACACGCACCTCTTACTTTTTTACAGTATTGAAAATATTTTATTATATATTTACTATTTATTTATTTTCTAGAAGATATTATTTGCTATTTATTTATTATACATTTAAAATATTGCACTATAATTTATTCAAATATTAATACTGAAATGCACATGTTATATTAGGTTTGTCCAAAGTATTTATCGATCTGTGGTCCAGTAATAATTTTTATTCACGAAACTGAATAACATTTCCAAAAAAAAAAAAATCTACTTTGAAAATAGTCTTTAAATGATCATGATTTATAAATTTATTTATATGCTTTTGTATATTCACTTATAATATATTTTTTTTTAATGGGTGATAATGGAATGGCAACCCCACCCGCGCTATCGGTGTACACCGGCGGGGCACCAGCGAAGGATGATAGATGAGGATGAAGCAGGTCAGTTAGCCCATCGTGACGAATTCAACAAGAAATGTTCACGATGGTTTCCAGGGGGAACCACGTGGAGGTCGACCTAATAGGGCATATTGCTAGCAATGGGGCTGTCAAACTCCATTGCTAACAATCCCTTTGCTGCTGCCCATCCCTCGATCATTAAGTTCCCTTAGTCGCCTCTTACGTCACCCACGGTAAAGGAAAGGGTGACCCATTCTATGCCAGGACCACACGGCAAAACATCTTAAATAATACCTTACAGTCCTTAGGAATGGCATCGCTTTAGAAGTACCACTGGTGGTACAGTGTATTCTGTAATGGCCATAGTAGGTACTGTTCATGTCTATAAGCAAAGGTTATGTAAGGTACTTTCCATAAAATGAGCCGTCAGCTTGTTTGCCATGCTTGCTTTTATAAAAAAAAACATGCAATTCTGAATGGCAAACAAACTGAACTTCACTAGATAGATAATGAAAAACGTCATCTATAGACATACAATAGAAAAAAATTGGGGGAAAGGGATTGTTAGTAATGGAGACTGAGAATCCCATTGCTAGCAATATACCCAACCAGGTCGACCTCCTCGTGGTTCTCCCTGGAAACTATCATGGTTAATTCCTAATGAATTCATCATGATGGGCTAACTGGCCTGTTTTCATTCTCATCTATCACCCTTCACTGGTGCTCCGCCAGCGTATCCCGTTAGCGCAGGCGGGGTTACCATACCATTTTCACCCATAAATAAAAAATAGAAAAAATTGAGTATCATGCCCGTTCTTCTTAGCTGAAAATGTATTCAGAATTGGCGGTAAAATAAAAAAAAATACTATTTAAAAATGTTCACAATTAAATTTACACGAATTAAATATATTCTTATTTTAGAATATTATGTTGTTGTATATTATATGTATTTCATATTGCATTAAAAAAAAACTTATTTTACAGCAAGGCGACTACGTGAATAAACCCAATGAGAACGTTCCACCTGAACCCGCGCCGCGGAAGAAACGGCGAGACTTCTTCGGAACAATCAAAAGAAGGTAAACATAGAGCCAACAAATAAAGTACCTAGTAACTTGTTTTTAATTATTTTTTTTATTTTTTTATTTATAAAGTTTTGGTAATTTTTTAAACATTTCTATGTAACTCGATAACAATAATTTAATTAACTAATTTGTTTTTAATTAAATAAAAATCTCCCACATTGAAAGTTTATGCCATATTTTATTTTGTGTCAAATTTTCCCGCGTTTGTTCATAATTTTTTTTTTACTCTTGGCAAAGTTATGCAACTATACGTGTATAAAATACCTAATTTTGTCATTAAGAAATTTGCATATATTAAAAATAATATTTGAAATCATTCATCAATCATTACATTTAATATATAAATGTACTGTTGAATTATTATCTATATGTAATATGAAATAAATACTTTATTGATTTATCGATTTTTATTTACTCGAATCTTTGAAACGTTATTGTCTTACAGAGATCTAGGGATAATTAAAAAAATAACAACATTTTATAACATATAACCAGGTGCGGTATTTTATTTAAAAAGTAATTCTAACTTAACTTCTTGTTTTTTTTTTTTTATTTTTAATCTATTTTCGTTAGCATGCGTAACATGTCGGATACTTTTTCTTTTTTTTTTTTGTAATAACATATCCTTTCAACTGTGTCATGCAAAATAGTGGAAAATCCACATCTGTGGCGTCCCGTGAGCGGACTTTACACAGACTAGGTATTTTTAGCGTATAGGTTTAAAAAACCTGATTTTTCCGAAATCTAATTGGAATTATACAAAATTCAGTTTAGATTTATATTCCAACTAGATTCCTTGTGTAATTTCTTACACTACACTCGACTTGAATTGCATTGCTACTGTTCTATGAGAAATAAAATGGGGTCACCTATAAATTACCTTTTATTTTTCAATTATTAAAAAACTAAGACCTTGCTGGATGTAAAATTATATGTTTTTTGTACAATATTATATACTTGATAAAATAAAAATAAAACGGCTTATGTTCCAATACTTTTTTTTTTATACAGCACTTGTTTATAAACATGGACCAAAAAAGTCCCTCTTCAATTGACACTTAAGTGGGTCTCCTATTTCATTATTTTACGTAAATTCTTGGCGTCAGGGACAAGAGGTGGTTTGTTTACAATAATTTAAGCTTATCGCCAAGCTAGTTTAGACAAAACAGTATATATGTCATTATTATCTATATGTCCTGAGCTGAGCGGACGCGACACAGTTGAGAGGCCAAGTAGTAGATGGTACCTGAATGTTTTATTTTTTTCCAGGCTCGGCCGGTCGCGGACCCGTGGTCAGTCATTAGATCTTCAAGATTCAGAAAGCGATAATCCTAACCACATTCGTAGCGTCAGCGCGGAAAGAAATAGCCACGGTAAGTTGTACCTACATACATATACAGGGTGTTATACCTTATATAATTGGTTAAGTCAAAATCGTTAGCGTTTCTAATTCCTTATTTTTTTTTTATCTTGTTTATTTAGAGGCTTTTATCCTATAAGGATATGTCAGCCTCATCATACCCTAGTTTTAAAAAATACCTCACATACTTAAAACATTGATACATAAATAAATAATACATAATATTAATCCCATACATTTATTTATTGGTAGATTTATTAGTTTTATGTATAAGTACCTACCGCTGTTGATTTTGACGTCACCCTGTATATTTCTTTTGCATATATCATTGTACCTTTTTATTTAAATTTGTTTAGTAAGTAATCTCATCTTAATTTTTTTTTTAATTTTATTTATTATTTATTTTTAAATATTTAAAGATTTATTAAAGAAGACAAAAAACAGTTATTTTGATTTAAAAATAAAACTACTGAACAGATTTTGATAAAATTTCTATAAAATCAAATTGTAAGTTTCTTCTTTCAGATAAAAAAGAATTATCCAAATCGGTTTACAACTGACGGAGTTATGAGGTAACAAAAAAAAAATATAACCGAGTTAACAGCCTCCTTCTTTTGAAGTCGATTGATAAATATAAACTAATTGTTTTAACAATTTTTGTAATCGTATTTAATGCGATCGTGTTTGCGTTTATATGATAATTTTATTTGGAATTGTAAGTTTTGAAAGTATCTATGAAAGTTTTCAATACATATTAATAAATACGGACTAATTAAAAATTGTATAAAATTAACGAGACGTCTTGTAGTACCCCGTCTGGGGTAACAGTCGTCAGTACGTATTTTATTAGTATATAAAATGGTAATGAAAATTTCAACTAAGAAGTATTAATTGAATTTTTTTATGATACTTAGAATGGCAAACAAGTTGACAGTCCACCTTATGGAAAGTATTAACCGACGCTTATAAAATAGAAAATATTTATGGTAAAAAAAAAACACATTTACAACAGAAAATGCAGTAATATTATATATAAAAAGTGTCTCATATTAGCAAAAGTAACTGGCTCAGCTGATGCTACGAGTGTCCAATTTCAATATGTACAGCTATACAGTGCTGATTTCCAGTTCCTCTCTTAACAAAACAAACAAAATACAGACGGGCACAACTACAATTGCATGTTATAAAAATTATTATACTAGATAAAATAGAAAAAAAAGTTATCAGTTGAACTTACATTTAGCATATATAGACATGACCAGCAACACTACAGAATATATCATTATGTCCATGGTCTGATATTACAATATATATATATATATATATATATATATTCTGGCATTAATAATATAATTACTGGCAAAACCCCTCTTATAGAGGGGTAATTTCCATGCTTGGTAGGCGGGTTGGCAACTGCAGTTAGACTTTAGTGATATTTTAAGACGGACGCTGCTGCTCATCCTTTAATCATAAAGTTGCCTTAGTCGCCTCTTACAACATCCACCGGATAGAAAGGGGTGGCCTATTCTATGACAAAACCATTCGATAAATAGTTATATATTTAAACTTCGAGTAACTGTTGGTCATGATATATATATATATATATATATATATATATATATATATATATATATATATGTATTGCTGACATTATAATTTATAATATTATTATTAATGTTACAATCTGTTTACAGATAAAGCCCTAACCCTCCCGAATAGAAACGTTTACTCTGCCGGAGCGTCGCCTGCGCAGTCTGGAGACGAATCTAGAACTTCTAGGAGGTATGTTTAATGACTCCGTATGAATAGTTAATGTAATATTAATTAAATTATTACATTTATTTTGTTTATTTCATTACTTTAATTTCATTTAATGATAAAAAAATAATAATGTTATTTAATTATTAGCTTATAAATGGAATATACTTAGAGAACAAATTACATAGCATGCGATACATTTAGTATACAATTAAATATAGCAGAGAAATAAAAATGTAATTTGCATTGTGGTAAAGTTAAACCAAATCAATAGGTTGTATTTATAATATTTATAAATTTGAATGAAGCGCTCATAAATATACTAATTAATTATATAATGGACTACTGGCACACAAAAATATGTTCTGACTTGGCACTTAAGGATACATTGTATATTTTTAAGTAATACAGTAACAGTATAAAAGGATACTAACTTGCTTACGAAAAGTAATATTTGGATATGTTTCACGTTTTAGGTATATTTATTAAAAACGTGACATATTAATATTTGAGTCCTATTTTGAGTATATTTAATAAAATAGGTTTAAACGTATAGAGTATTCAAACTGAAATCTAGTGACAATAGTAGTAAAACTGGTGAATAAAACTGATACATTTACTCCTGTATAAAAAGCTGAAAAATTGTATTTATGTTTCAAATAAATATTCGTCGAAAATTGTTCAGTTTTATGAATGTTTTATCACTATTTTTCTTGTTGATATACTCTTTATGTCAAACCTGGCGTGTACAAATTGGTGGAATGACCATTAATTGTACATTTTCTTTCTTTTTCCATCTGACAACACTCACATCCGCTGGGGGTAACGCACTCTGCAATCTGGTAACACTGGTTTTCCATACTAACGCTCATAACATAATTCTAACGGACATTGTTGAAAAACATTTGCATGCTCGATTTAATTTCTGTTCTTTATATTTTTTTATTTTCTAAATCTTCTTGAATGGCTTTTTTTATATTTTATTTTATTTTTTATATTTACTTACTTGGTTTTAATTTTCTAATCTCACCATCATTATACTACCATTAAACTGAATCAAAAACATCATTTATAACTTGAACACTCTCTGTCAAACAAAAATAAACAACAAAGGTCCTCTCTCAGCGAGGTATCCGGATTCAGCACAGCCTCCGCAAGGACCTTCATCCATGAAGCATCCACGCTAGTCCTAGAAACAATCGAGGCAGGCATCAAGAAACACTATTTAGTGCCCCTCACTGTCGCCCAGCGGTCCAGATGGAGACGGAAGGGCGTCAAACTACATATTTATAATGAGCATACATTTATCGCTAGACATCTTAGCGGGTGAGTACTCTATTTATATACTTATAAGTTATTAAATACTAGTTATTTTACAAATATCTTGTGCGATATGGGATATAATGCATCTTTCATTTTTTAATACACTTATAACGGCAAACTTGTGATTGAATTGATTGGTCACTTGAATTTATTTATAAATTAAATTTTTTCTTACTTTAATTTAGAAAAAATTTAGTATATATCCAATTACTTGGAGAACCGCATCAGTTTTCATTTAGAATGCATCATATTACTATTTCTTTCTTTGGCTCTGGGAAATTTCTGAAGACAATTAGAAGAACGAAACATAATATAAAATTATGAGATAAGCAAAATTTAACTCTGTCTAAAGCAATCACAATGGTTTATTATAAACATAGTAATATCTTAAATTCCAGTGGAACAGTATGCGAAGTGTGTAACAAGACGATAGCGCGGCGGCTCGGCAAGCAAGGCTACGAGTGCCGCGACTGTCAACTCAAATGCCACAAACACTGCCACATCAAGGTGCCCGGGACTTGTCCGCGCTCTACCGTGCACAATATGGAGCTGTAAGTATACACTGAACAACTATAGATATCATTCTATTTCAGAGAATTTTTTTATTTGATATCTGTATTCTAAAGGAGTCGGTGTCAGTTTATAGGTTTTTTTTTTGTACGAGTTAATTTAGTTACCCATCTGTTATTTGTATACATTACATAATGTATTTTTCATACCTCCTATTCCAAAATAGAACCAATTTGTAATTTGTACCTCAGCATAACGACATATCGAATCTCTCGTTTCACTCGGAACTAAATTGTGAATTCCTTGCATTTTTTATTCCCTCGTGAGCTATTCTTATAAGTTGCGCAACGAGGTTATATTTATTCCAGTGCTGTCGATTTGTAAAATTTAAATGCGTTTAAGTTAAATAAAGTATTGTAATTTTCATTTTAAGTGGGCATATTCCGTAATACGTAAACTGTTTAATATACTTTAGATTACCAGTCTTATGGGAAGTGCCCCCTTAAATTCATATTACATTAGGATCATTACATAAATTATCACCATTAAATGAACAAACCATGACGTGCTTGCATGTTGCAGCTTGCATAGGTTCAACGATCTCGCACTTTAACCCAGAATGTAACTTGTAACTAATAAAATAACAAGAATTAAAATAAATCCTAGCAAGAAAATATGATAAAATCACAAATAAAAACCTTTAATTGTATAATTTTTGCACAGTATTTTTATTTATATACTGTGATTGTAGTCCATGACACTTCCACAATGAAGTTATATTTAGAGATATAATCCTTATTATAGATAATGACATAATAATATACCCGAAATACATTTATATGTTGGGGTAATTAGAATAGAATATTTGGGGGCACATCCGTAAGAAACATGGCCTTAGCAATTATTGTCAAATCTGAAAGCAGCTTAATAATCTATGTAAATGAGAGACATCGTATCTGTTGATGATAAAATAACCTACTCTATGCTAACTGTTCGATGCAGTAAAATCACGTTTACAATGTTCTTAATATTTAACGTAAACAGAATCTTTATATAAAATAATTCTTGAACACCTCATAAATGAAACGCGAATTAAAATGAGTTTTTTTTTTAATTATAATTTTATTTACGTTCTGTCATTTTACACATTACATTTTATCTCGAATTATAAGTCAAGTTTTTTACATCCTATTTTGACAGTGTCTCTCGTTTACGTAGATATTGTTATACTTTCAAATGCTGCTTTCACACTAGAATCTAATGAACTATCTTATATTCGTCTACTCTTACTTCCTCCCCTCTCCATATTCAAATCTTTTTCTATTACAATTATGGTTATCATGTATAAATAGTTATCCCGGCATTTAATTAAAGCGTTGACTAATTATTTATTGTATTTTCCAGTCGGTCGAGTGATGATAAAATTTATAATAATTATACTAATACGATTTTTTTTCGATAATTATTGCTTATTCACCGTATGAAAGAAATAATATCAGCGCTCAATTACGTCCCGGCAACTACATATACAATATTATCTCAATTGATACATTAAATAAATTATAATATATTCACTTTTAATTCATACTAATATATGAAAGGAAGGCGACGTGTCAAATAAAACATATCAGTCGTAGTTATATTCTTTACTAGAACATAACGACCCTCTGTTTAATAACAGAATACCTGAGTCCTCAGGAATGGCAACGCATGGGGGGTGTCATGGGCGAAACAGTATACTCTGTTATGTCCATGGTACTGCTCATGTCTATAGGCGACGGTTACCACTTTCCATCAGGTGGGCCGTCAGCTTGTATGCCATTCTAAGTTGTATAAAAAAATAAAAATAAAAAAAAAATGTTCGTCAAAAATTGTGAAGAAGCGGGAGACCTTAATAATGTTGACCATCTGTTAAAGCACATACATATTTATAAAAACTATTTAAGCTCACACCATAATTAGAACACCATAGTTTAATTTATAATTTATTTACATAGATAGACAAGTCCTTTAATGCCAACAACAATATGATATCTCATGCAACGCAAATAAGTAAAAAACTTTAAAATGTAATCTAATAACATCCAAGCGTGTATGTATCCAAGTATGATAAAATAAATAGCAATAATTAATCATAGTTCGTTATTTTATTTGACGAGCCGACCGCCTTTCTGTTTTTACGCATTTGTTTACCTTAGAATACCGCTTGCACACGTCTTTACATTATTTTCCAATTTACTAATGCATATTTCATTTTATATTTCAGCTATCTTCATATATTAAATTATATTTCGCCTTTTCTATATGAAACTTTAAACTCATTAATACTAATATTTCATATAAAAAAGGCGTAATGTCACAAAGAAAAAAAAAAGTTTACAAGATGTATTTTAACGTTTTCTGTCTTGTAAACTTTTTCCAAAATTATCTTCATTTTATGCTATACGCTTATATGTTTATTTATTTCCAACGCTGCCAAGGTCCCATTCCCATAGCTTTGGAAATGGAAGGTACTTAGTTTTTTTTTATAATTTTTTACAAATATTCATATTAAAGTTACATTTTTTAGAATAATTTATACACAATGTTACAATATAGCTTTGTCCCTTGCCGCAAATTTTTATACCTAAGCACATTTTTTTTACATAATTGTTATATAGTATATTTTATGTTTAATTAACATTTAATGTTTAATTTATTAATTAAAGTTATTATGCTTGATTTACAATAACATTTGTAAACCAACTTTGGCGATGTCATGTAAAAAAAAAGACATGAATAAATGACATACAATTATAGCATAATTTAAAAGTTTTGTACAATAATTAATAATAGAATTGAATTCTTATTTATATATTTATTTTTTTGGTATATTTATAATAATAATGATAATAAAAAATAGGTTTAAAAAGCTTGGGCCTACGTAGATAAAGAATATCCCCAGAAGATCAGCGTATGGCTGTATTTCAGTTAAATTGTATGTCTGTATCAATATTATTTTGAACTATTCCCACTTTAAATATTGTGAAAATAACATTTTTTTTTTAAATATTACTATAATAAATCCATTGATATACAAAAAACCCAAGATGTACAATAATTATTAAATATTAAAAAAGATCAATAAAAATAGAACGCATTCAGCTAAATTATACACTCATTTATATTCTATCTAACAATTCTAATGTTTAAAAGCAATCATGCTGACATATTCTTACAAATTTTGTCAAAAACATACGGAATTCATACGGTAGCTATTCGATGTCACTCAAATTTTGATTTTTTAGCTAATTTTGTATGGGAATGTGAATCTTGGTTCTTTTATATATCAATGATTGAATCACAATATCTTTTTTCTTGATTGACACTGACCTGCTGCACTCACGTGTGAGGGATAGTCCTTCGGGGTATATTTTTATTATAAAATATTTCGCATGAGACACATTTCAGACTAAAGGTACCCTGTTTTCTAAGTACTTACTAAAAGTACCCTATGAACTTATTCATCGTTTACGCGAGACCTTATAATTTTCGTAAACTATTTACCACATAAACTTTTCGAATGGCCACTTTGTATAGGCAAACGTAATGTAAGGCTCTTACCTCACTAGATAGAAATAAGATCTTAAATGTCAGGGAATCTTAAATCAGGGAGTAAGTGAATGCAGATGACTCAGGACCGTTCTTTATAGCAGTCTATGGTGGAGGGCTATGTTCAGCAGTGGACAGTTTTTTTTTATTGGATGAAAATGGAATGGTAACCCCGCCTGCGCTAATGGGATACGCTGGCGGGGTACCAGTGAAGGATGATCGATGAGGATGAAAACAGGCCAGTTAGCCCATCATGATGAATTCATCTGGAATTAATCATGACAGTTTCCAGGGGGAACCGCGAGGATGTCGACGTGGTTGGGTATGTTGCTAGCAATGGGATTCTTAGTCTCCATTACTAACAATCCCTTTCCCCCCAGCAGTGGACAGATAACAGCTGTAAGGATGATGACCTTACAAATTATTAAGTTTAAAAAAATACGATTCTAATAACAGTGCTTAGTAACATATAGATGTGGCAAGATAAATAAGGCAAACAAATAATGAAATTTTAAGGGGTATAGTGGCATAACATACTAGAATTTTAACAAATAAGGGGTACCATAGACCTTATAGAGTATATAATATCTCTCGTGCATTGTCATTCCTGAGAACTGGATATTATGCTTCTGTACCTTGTAATTTCACTGCTATGTCCCACCCTTCAAACTGAAACAGCGAAGCAAGCACAGCTACTATACGGCATAAATACAAATGAGACGAAGGTATCCAAACATACATCTCTGGTAAAAAGCTCACGAAAATCGCCCAAAAGTGTCATGAGGCGGCAAGTGTTATGTTATGCCCGATGATATGTTATGATGGGCCGTCGCTAGACCCAAGTTTAAGGTAGGGCAAAATAACTTTTTGATAGGGCAGAAGCCATAATTCAGTGACTTCGAAATAGTGAATCTATCTAATTTTCATAAGGCCTTTCATTTTAGGATAGGGCACCGGGCCTTTTAAGGTAGGGCATTATCCCTCAATGCCCTCCTCTAGCTACGACCATGTAGTTGACTCATAAAGTTCACTATTTAATTTCATGTTTGCAGCTGTCCATTACCAGAGGGAGACTGTACAAAAGTCGATTGCTTGGGTACCTCTGTCCCATTCGTGTTTCAACCGTGAAGCAGTTGTGTTTGCATGACTGTGTTTCGGTTTGAAGGGTGGGATATGGCGTGAATTTACTGGGTACAGAGGAATAACACCTGAGTCCTCAGGAATGGCAACACATGGGAGGTATCATGGGCGAAACAGTATACTCTGTTATCTCCGTGGTACTGCTCATGTCTATAGGCAACGGTTACTACTTTCCATCAGGTGGGCCGTCAGCTTGTTTGCCATTCTAAGTTGTATAAAAAAAAAAACTAGTATAAATACAAAAACCTAATTAAATTTATAGTATCTTACAATAAATCATGGCATTATTCATTACACACAAATCATTAATTTTGATGTAATATATAATATGGAAGTATGAGCTTTCTTCATTTATAAAAGCACTTATTTAAATTATTAATAACTACTAATTCATAATTTAAAATTTTTCTTAAATTTATCATATGTATATCGTAATCATATTGTTGTTTATATGTATGTATATTTAGGTATCATTATATATTTTGTATAACCATAGTGTATAAATTTTGGGGTAACCTCGATTAGTATTACTAACATTTGTATTATATAATTTATTCTTCTAGATCCATGCTCCCAGTGTTAAATGAATAGTCAAGCTAATCGAGAAGACTGCAAGAAAAATATTAAAAAAAAAAACAAAACAAAAAAAAATATACAAGAAATTTCCAGGTTCTTTAAAAATATTAAAGTTTGTAGTCACAACTGTTTCTTAGTTTGGATGCATGCGTGTTTTTTTTTTTTTTTCTAAAATCACTTGTTTTTTTTTCTACAAATAAGAGTTTTTTTGTTAGTGGCAATTTCTTTTTTTTTTTTTTAATAATAAATAACTAGTTTTTTTTTTTTATTATTAAGTAACACTTCAGCATGTCTTGTGTTATGCCGATATCTTCACTTTTTTTTATTTTAATAGATATATAAAAACAAGTTTTTAAGTTTTCAGTGTGATATTTATCTAGATGCACTTGTTAACAAGTGAGCTATTTGTGTGTTTGTCGTATTGATTTTTGTTGTATAAATTATTGTTTAGTTGCAACAAATTATTCAGCTAATATAGTCCCTAATTAGAATTACTATATTACCTAACTGATAGACGTATTAAACTACATACATTAAATACAAACAAGCATACAATTATATCTGTTCTAGAAAGACAAATTATTATATGGCCCGGGGATCGAACCCATGACCATCGAAAGATGATATTACAGCACAGAGAACATCAAAGACGTTTTTATTAACTAGCAACCCAACCCGGCTTTACACGGCTATTTTTATATAAGCCCATATTATTCGCTGTTAATGTAGCTTTCTATGGGTGACAATTTTTTTCAAATCAATTAAGTATTTATTTTTGTTTATCCATTACAAAGAAAAATCAAATCTTTAGATAATAAAAAAAAAAAATACCTCTAACTACTTATTACGAAATAAAGTCGTTTCCATATAGGTAATATTTTACTTACTTGCTAACACGACAAATTTTATCCCCCCCCCCCCCCCAACGTCCCATCGGTATAAAGTTCTCATTTAAATAGATTAAAACTAATGTATTATATCTTTTCCAGGACATACATCCAATCACCATACGCGGACAAGAATATAAGAATGTTGTGACTGTAAACACAAGGCGCTTAAGTATGCACAAAGCTATAATTTTCATTAGTTATTGAAATAATCTGTACCACAAAATCTCTCTAAGTACAACAAACACTATTATGTACGCTATATTATATAATAATAGGCTTTTCTACGAATATATTTATAATTATTAATATAATGAAAGTTTAATACTAGTTTATAAGGAGATGTAGAGGTTCTAAAACTTGTTGCTGGAATTAAAAAAAAAAAGAAACATTTTAAAATAATATCGTTCCCCGCTTTTCACCAATTGGCGAAATTAGGGTTAGTTTAGATATCGCTAGAGCCCACCACTTAAACCATTCTTTTCTATTACCATAGAATTTTGGTGAATAAATCTTAGGCACGCTTGTACCAACCAAAACGAAAATACCGAGGATTTTTTTTTTCATCTCTACCTCATTTTCTCAAAAACAATATACCTGATATGTTAAAGTTACCAACCGTTCACTTACAAGTTTTGTTAATATATTTTGTTGAATAATTAATTATTATATATGTCGGACTAAATAATTAAACAATATATTTATTTTAGTTACTTAAGTGCTTTTGCACATTGTGATCTGGCATAATGTAACGTGCAATACTTAAAACCTACTTACATGTGTATTAGTGCTTGGAGCTTCGAAGTTAAATATTTAAGAGAAAATTCTTGGCCATACAAAATAATTACCTTAATGTCAATCCACTGTGCAAAGATGTGTTTTTTATTAAGGTGTCACCTTAAACGGATGTGATTAAAGTTGTTTTTTTCTATAATTCTCCAATTTTAAGGATAGAACATAGATGGGTTATGTTATAAGCTGTCACTGTTAAAAATATTTCTAACTTTAGTGATACTCACATGTCAGAATTGCCCGCAATGTTTCTTTAATAACAAATAAATAAATAAATTTTAATACAAACAGATATTGGGGCGTATTTGTAAAGTCCATATTTTTTTTTTTTATTAATTTCAAGAGAACATGTTCGTTTAAGGTGTCAGTTTGACGTGTGATTGACATAATTCGAAACTAAAATGTATGATACAAATGTTTTGTATGATTACATTTCGCTCTCTCCATAAATTCGTATTGTTACATTAAAACTCCAACGATTAAATTACGAAAATCATATTTTTAAAGTCGCCATATTTATTTTATGCTGTCATCTTATCTAAGGGAATTACTACCCTGTATTAACCTGGCAATACAAATAAGGAATCTAAGGTCAAAATCAAAGACACATTACCTGAAAGAACCGGATATACCACTAGAAAACATTACTCTCTTTTCGAAGAGAACCGGGTAAAAACAACGCAACAAAATCAACTTTTTAAGCAACTTCAAAATGGAAGTCTATTTTTTTGTATGTTACGCGAAATCATGTTCAATTTTGAACTGATTTCGATATTACTTATTAGTGCTTAAATTAAAAAAATCTAAAATTTAAAAAGCACAAATTCATTTGTACAAAAATGTCGATTTAAAAGTGCTTGTAAACAAGTATTTTTGAATGCAGATGATGATATGAATTTTAATTAGTCGCTGTTTTTTAAATGAACTGTTAAACCTTTATTAATAAAAACTAAAAAGTTCTATAAACCTATTTTAACTATTACGTTGTTTTGTCACTGTCTTTCGAATTAAAAAGTCAGTGCGAAAGATAAGGACAGAATATTCAATAGCTAAAACATGTTTACGAGAGTTTTGACGTCTTTTATAAATAAAGGGATTAAATTATTGCATAAATAATAAACAAGATACAATGAATTACTTACAGGTTAGTAAACACAGTCACGGCTTGTCATTTTCAATGAATTGTTTCAAAATTAAATCGTGAATGTCAAACAAAATGTTTGTAGCATTATTATAAATGTTATTCAGACAGCGATGTTCAATATATATAAATATTATATGACAAAAAAAAAATGTATTTGTACTCTTTTATTAAGATTGTTAACGCATAATGTTTTATGTGGTTCCGTATAAATATTATTATTAATTTATAAATGTTGCGCAATGTTTTTGTCTGTAATTTTATTTTTTCCTTTTTTTTTAAAATAAAATGCCTTTTTAATACTTTTGTAATTTTTATTTGTTTACCTATCAATTTATATTTTTATATATACTGTAACATACTACGGATGTTACAGTATATATATATATATATATCTTCAGGTGGTCTCCCTGAAAACCATCGTGCTGAATTCCAGGTGTATTCATCACGATAGACTAACTGACCTGTCCTTTTCATTCTCATCTATCATTCCTCATTGGTGTCTCGCCAGCGTATAGCGTTGGCGTAAGCAGGATTACCATTACCATCCATTTGTATGTATGAATATATTTATACATACAAATTTCGTTTTTGGTAGGGCATAAGCCATAATTAAGTGATTGCGAAAAATCGAATCTGTCTAATTTTCTTCTGTCTTGTCATTTTAAGGTAAGGCATTGAGCCTTTTGAAGTAGGACATTGCCCCGTAACCCTTAAACACCTGAAGTTTCAAATTTGATACCGGGGCTTGCATTGTTTCATTGTTAAATAAATTTAAATATTTTGATTACCGTAATGCCTAAAGTATCAAAAATAATACCAAATGTTTTTTTTTTCAAAATAAATACATAAAAATATCGTTTTGATTTTTTTTACTATTTTTCCCCATTAGTAAACACAGTAAAGGGTACACTTATATATTTTTTAATTTGATTTTAAAAAAATCAAAGCTTTTAAGAGTTTCCTCCCTCCCAAGCTACAGCCATAGTGTCATCTTATAATCATAGTTTAAGAGGTGATTTTCTAAATAAAACAGTATAGACTTGTCGCTTATACCAATTTATTGACTCAGCGTATGTACACATAACAAAAAGCCATCTTGCTAGTAAACGCCACCTGACCTCGCCTTACAATTAACAATATCGATCGTATTGCATTCACCAGTAACTGAACGAGCGAATGATTTGCCAAAAGCAAAATATCTGAGTCACTGAAATAACATTACAATGTGTGATTTGATATAAAATGTTTTGCCTTCATACATTACGAGTATTGATTAATATCAAATATGTAGAAACATACAAAACTCTTATTCGATCCTTGATGGTACTTATACATAGTTTAAAATACGACGAAATGAAAAAAAAATTTCGCTATTAAAAATGAAGGAACACCGACCTCTACAATGGCAAATGAATCTATCTATAAATGCGTTATAACTACTACACGACAGAACGAGACAGCCGCATCTGGCGTCACGTTCTTTATCAAGGTGGGACTAAAATGCCCAGAATGTATATTATATGTTGCACAACAATAAAATTGAAACATCTTTTAGTGCCAGAATAAACATTTCTAAAGCTATTTTATATTTTTATATATATAAGACTATTTATAATTAGCCGAATGAGAATTTAATGAACTATATAATTAAATGAATAATTAAAATAGGGTAAATAATATTAAAATTGTTTTGTTGCTATGTAGAAATTTATTAAATTCCCCTTCAACTAATTATATTAAATGTATGTTATTAGTGAATATATACCTTTAAACAAAGGTAATATTTTATAAATATCTTTTAAAAAAAAAAGCAATCTAGTAGATACCAATCAACCCAACTTCCGACTGGGTGATATTCCGAGAGATGGCGTTAGGCTCGCCTAACTGACACATCGTCAAATATGTCAGATGTGACGTCGTTCTTAGTCATTTTACAGTTATGACCATGAAATGACCAAAGAATGACGTCTCTTTAGAGTGAGTCGTAGACGTCAGAATGACGTCCAGAATTTGACCTGAGCAACACTCAATGGGACTAATGGATGACCTTAATCATTAAGTCACAATGCACAGTTACTATTATACCTCCTTATTCACCCTTTAATCCGGAAAAAAGCATGCAAGCTGCTTGACGGCAGAAAAGGGTGAGATAAGAGTACTAACAAATTTTTTATAATTAATATTTTTTTTATGTTAATAATAAATTTTAATAAAACAAAAACTTTTGGATAAATCATACAGTATCATCTTGTGACAAACAAAGTCGTGCTTCTACTTTGAGTATGACAAGTACCAAATATATATACTTTTTTAAATTAAATACATAGAAAACATTTAAACTCACACTTGTATTTATATTGCACGGGGATCAAACCCGCAACCATCGGAAGGTGAAGCAGTACTAAAGCTAAGCTGTTCCAGCATTAAAGTCATTTAGACGACGGATAAATGTCCAATAACGGACTCTGATATATCGAGCGATTAAAAATTTACATAAAAGCAAAAAATAATAGTTCAAATTCGTAATTCATTACAATGTGCTGAAGTAACAAATATTTATTATTAAAATCGTCAGAGCTCTTCATGAATGTAAACGGCATAAAACTCTTGACTTCTCGCAACAGAGGGCGCCACCCTCCCTATGTATTAATATGATTTAGCACTCTGAAAAGCTAACTTTCAACTATATATTTATGGTAAATACATACAGACAGTATGATTTGTATTATTTCTACAACATACATAAACATAATGTTAACATTTTTACCAATAACTGGCGTTTACTGACCCTTCCTCATGTATATTTTTGTATTTATACATACAATATTTCATTAATAGTATAAAACCTTAAAATAGTGGGGAAAAAAAAACAAACAAGGATTTTGGAATTGAAAATATTGTTCTGAAACAAATGGCCAAGTTCGGAATTTTTTTTTATCCAAATGATAAAAAATTGTATGCCAGTTATAAAGCCAATAAGGCTCGGTAACTGTTAGCGATTGGGTATTCCTGCAAGTAACAAAACAATAAAAGAAAAAGAAAAATAAAAACAAAAAATATATGATCACAAAAAAAAATATAATTCAATACCAAAATTATATGTACAATATTTCAAGTGACTACAAAATTATTTAGTTTCCAATATAACTCGTGGTAACCTATACTATAATATTTTAACATGACAATAATTTACAAAAATAACGGAATCCATCCATTTGCACCGAAAACTGAACTAACAAAATATGAATCTTTAAAACAAAATACTAGGGACGCGGCGCTCGGCAGCGACAGCGCCAAGTCTTCACGTCAATTATTTTTACATTATCACGCACATTTACTACAAAAAATAATACACAAGTGAATCGACTAAGCGGAATACACATTCTGTACCGAAACAGTTTTTTTTTCTTCTACACTGAATAAATACCATCTTTGACATAACTGAGACCAATACATAATAGTTTAATAAAATTAAAAATCCAACTAAAATTTGGTTAGTTTTTCTATTATATTAAAATGTTTTTTTTTTTTTTAATATTAATACTAGTATTTTTCCTTACATATTACAATAGTTATAATAAATATCACTAAGTGTTAATCACTTTCTAGCGTATATATAAGATACAACTTCTTAAATTGGAATACTAAGGAATCTGCCATTGTTCAATCACGCATAAAAACACTATATTAAAAAAATGCATAGTCAGTCAACAACTAAAAAAAAAAAAATTAGATATATTAATACGCGTCTTTGAGCACCAGTTTTTTTTTCTTTTTTATATAAAAAAAAAAAGTAAACGAAAAGCTCATTTCGTTATAATCTATTTTTCTTATTTATATGTAAACAACTTGGCATGATTTTTCAGTGCATAAAACGAACAAACCTTTTTTTTTAATAATTATTTTTAAAATTTCTATAAAAAAAGAATACATGCCAAGATTCTTTACTGAAAAAGATAAATAGGAAAAAAAGGTTATACAACTGTTGTGATCCCAAAAGAGGACTTTGTAAGGACAATATTAAAAACTCGAAATCGACTTGTATAAAATGGCGTGTTGTACATATTGTACAGTTTTCATGTAGGCCAAAGTCGACCAGGGCCTTGAGCCATGAGTCTTTACAGCAGAATTAATTACATTTGACTTGTGAACAATAGAATTGCGACCTTATGCCAAAAAGAATAAAGCTGTGACATTATAAATACCCATGTAATGGGATGGATCATTCATGTAACAATAATTTTCAAGTAAGACACTGCCATTTAAGTTTTGAACGAAAATGGCGATAGTATTTTTTTTTATACAACTTAGAATGGCAAACAAGTTGACGGTCCACCTGATGGAAAGTGGTAACCGTCGCCTGTAGACATGAGCAGTACCATGGACATAACAGAGTATACTGTTTCGCCCATGATACCCTCCATGCGTTGCCATTCTTTCTAAAAATGTAATCATGAAAACAATTATTATCTATTTCTGTATTTATAAGATAACGTTGTAAAAACATACAAATTTAAATAGGAGTAAGGTTGCAATTTCATTATCAATACTTGGAACCATTAATACAAAATCAATATTGCTGTAAAGTTCATGGCAACACCACGTTCGAATGGAATGCTCGATCAGTCGTGTACCTATAACTAAAAACCATAGACATAGATGGACAGAGATGACGCACGTGCCTCGATTTATATACCGGCAAGCGTTTCGCCAAATTAGTTAGTTGTATATAACTGTTTTGTTTGTAACATTTGGTATTGACAAAGATAAGGTAGATAAAGATATATTTATTAAACAAAGTATGTTTGTATTAGCACAGAATTTATCATTGCTTCCTACACTAGGCTGGGCCTGTCCTGATTGAGACCTGTATTGAGAACTTAGTAAGACGATTACAATGCTTAAATTTAAATTTACTTGAATCAATTAATCAATTTATTTTGTTTTTCAATTTATTTTGTGAATAGTTGGTCTTAGAAGCGTCTTATTAGTAATCAATCTCTCACCATTATTGTCTACGTCCTTATTGCTTTCGCCATAATACGTTAGTGATTTTTTTTTCTGTCTGTAAATTTGTCCGACCACGTAAACTTATACTTTAATATTTTAATCACCCTTTTTACGAAATAGAAAATAATAATGAAAAAAAAAAATTAAAATAAAAATGACTCTGAATTGATATTTAGTTAAAATCGGGGTCTTATTTGTAGCACATGCGTTTGCGACATCTACGTACATCTATGTCTATGTTAAAAATCCAGGTGCTAATACAATTTAAAGCGGAAATCGTGTAATTTGTAAACCAAATGCCTGTACTGCTACATATATGTACTCCCTTTATAGTTACATGATACATTTCATATAATATATCAATATACCTTTTGTCGGGTAAACGCTTTTTCGAAAGCCTGCTATTTATCAGCGAATTGTGAAGCACTTATTAACTAGTTTGGCCTGTTTGTTCTGCTTTTATGTGTATTGGACACCCTAATATGTTAAAAATATCGTTTCATGTAGTATTTTGGTTGGATATATAAATTTTTACTTCAATCAATCGGCTTTTTATGATTCTGGACAATGCGTTTGGAATGTTTATATGAAATTTTTGTTTTATTTTTTCTTTTTAATTAATTTGAGACTAAATTAAACTTAGGTAAGATTTTTGTGGATATTAAAATAGAAATTTCAATAAAAAATAAGGTTAAGATATTTTTTTTTTCAATAGTTACAGACGGTCATAAATTATGATACACAATAAATTGTAAACATAATATAAATTAATAATAAAATATCAAGTTTAAAAAAAAATAAGATTGACTTAAACTCTGAACTATGATTCACTTCATTCAATTTACAGGGTACAGAGGAATAACATCTGAGTCCTCAGGAATGGCAACGCATGGGGGTATCATGGGCGAAACTGTATACTCTGTTATGTCCATGCTACTGCTCATGTCTATAGGCGACGGTTACCACTTTCCATCAGGTGGGCCGTCAGCTTGTTTGCCATTCTAAGTTGTATAAAAAAAAAACAAGTAATAATTTCCCGCCAAAACGATTACAGCAGTTACCGTGGATCATTGTTGCCAGATTAAAAACATTACCAAAATGTATTGAAAATATTTTTTTAAACTTATTTATTATGGAAGACATTAATGTATGGGAAGATAGGGTGCCCATAAATATGTCAATTTTACCCGGCAAAAGATTTTATATACATTGCATAGAATATTACATATATTCAATTACATAGTATATTATCAGTATTTACAGAGCATAATTAAATTGGCAAAGAACTTTTAAATGTTTTAATCTATGTTTTGCATTTTTTTCAAAATTCTGTTTCTATTTTTCGCAATATTTCAAAATCGATAACTTATTAAATCATTCAATTAGTAACCTTAAAATGTGGCTATTTTAAAATTCGCGCGCTTTTTCAGAACTATGCCATAGATTAAATAAGAATTTGAATATGGAATAAAATCCATATGTCACCAGCCAGTGACAGTGACATTTAACAGTTCTCAATTTAAATATATCCTGTAATAGGTACGTCTTAACACTATACTGTCGCGTACAAATTACGCGAAACAGTACAATAAATATCGAGTTACATACTAGTTATATAACTTGACGCTATATGAATATTACACATATATATATAAATTTTTAACGTTACATTATTTACTATTGGTGTTATAATAAAAAAAAAATTGTTACCCATTAAATTGTCTATAAAGTTGCTCGATTGATACAGTCGTTTCAAAATGTAATACAAAAGAGTCCCAATTACTCCAATTAATTCGATTATATTTAACGAATTGATCGATATTAATCGAACAAATTTATAGGCATTATTATTATAGATCGATTTATTAATGATACTTCATCATTTACTGTTACTTTTAATTATATGTCGGTCGATAGTCTCTGTAGAATTTTCAACAAAATCGAATATTATTTGCAAAATTGCGTTTTATACATATAATTTTTAAGTTTCTTTTTTTCTTTATTATTATATAAATAATAAAGAAAAAAAAAATATCCGCTAACCCCAATAGTAAATATTGATTCCTTTTGTAAAATATCCGAACTCTTATCCACTACGTACATAATACGTATCCGAATAAATACTTTATTAAGTATAAAATTAAAAAAAACACAACTTTTTTTATGCTTCGATATTCGTGCGCTAAATCTAGTTTTTTTTAAATCGACTTCGGTCTGTCGTAATCGATAATGCGTGGAAACGTATTGCAACTGTATGTTGCAACACTATTCCTAGCAACTTCTGTTAGGTCGTGTTTACACTGATATGACGACCATAAATTAAATAAAATATATGGAATAGATTCTCTAATTTTAGAAATCAAAAAGCACCACATTGAAAGCGATTATTAAAAAAAAAATGATAAAAATATAATCCACGTAACTAAAAAAAAAATGTGTTATAAGTCTCTCAACTACTCGTATTTTCATATCGTTTTTGTTTTGTCAAGAAATTACAGTACATTTTGCAAAAAAAAAAAACTATTGATACATGGTTGAATATGGCAACATTTTGATAGTAGTTACTTATGGTACCCACAATATATGGACACCAAATTACGAAGAAAAAATACAGAAGTTGAATTAAAAAAAAAAAACAATCATAAGCTTTGAATCTACATTTGCATCCACATTAGTCAATATTAACACATAACTAAGTTTCAAAATACCCACTCTTTTGTAAAACCACGATATTTTACCGTTCAACTTTAACACGAAGAACCACGATATTTTACCGTAGTCATCGTATCTTGTACTTTTATGAACAACCACTGAATCGTTAATCGTTAATAGAACATTATTTATATATATTTATTAAATCAGTGTAAACACGACTTATACGTAGACCGAGATAAGATGGCAACACTTAACACACTACTGTGTTGCCACATCGTTGTCGGAGGCCACAGCGCTTGGCAACTTAGTTTATTACACCATCTCCATCATCATCACATTGTACCGAGCTAATACTGGTGAACAATTATCTTATTTAGTGTTTATTTTATATTTTTAACTCTTCGAACTTGTTGGAAGCAATTACTTTTACCAGATACGTTAAACGATTAAATTATAAACGAAATATCTGGTGGGTAAATAACTCCCGTATTTACCGATTATTTGTAATGGAGTATGGCAACCCCAATAGTAGTAAGCTTAGCAATATACCCCCATCAGGTGGACTCAACGCGCTCCTTCTTGCCAGCAATCATATTTATTTTCCCGTTGAATTCATCACGATAGGTCAACTGCTCTGACTTCGTCCTCACCTATCTATCTATCACTGGTACCCCGCTAGTGTATACCGACAGCTTAGGTGGGGTTACCACTTTCTTTTACATCTCTAAAAAACCAATGACAGCATAAATATAGATGTCACTACTAGTACTAGAGATGGTTAATTAATTTTTCTAAAAGTCTAGGCAAGTATTAGAGGCAATAATTAGGGTCATTTTCGGATTGCATTTTCGACACATTCCTGTCGTATCTATATACTTTTCATGTATCGTATTATCATTTGGGTGGAAGGTATTTAAGCTGGATTTTTTAGTGATGGAGATTCTAGTTCCCATTAGCATTATACTCTGTCAGGTTGATAACCATCGTGACTGGTTTGTACTGAACTCACCACGACGAATTAACCAGCTGTCAAACTCCTTTTAGAACAATTAAATTTAAACTCTGATAGAGTACTAGTGCAAAAAAAAACCATATTTTAGTATAAATTATACTAAAAAACTGTGTAAATTTAAAAAACACGTCATCACCCACACACGAACGTGTATTTACGTATATTTTTATAAAAAAAAAAAAAAGAAATTAGGCTATTTTGTTCAATCTTCATTTTGTACAGTCTTGATTAGGACCTTTGCATAGTCAAAAAACAATTACAAATTGTTATTATAATTATATATAAATATACAGGCTGAGATCGAAATCATTAGCATCCTTATATAGGGTGTTTTTTTTTGGTGAAACTGATTATATCAAAGTTGGCTTTAAACATTTTTTTCTTGTTTTTCGACCTAATACTTCGACAGAACATCATCTTTAATTGAAGGAAACTAACGATTTCGATCAGCCTGTATAGTTACTAGATATAATATATCATACTTTATCTTCAATATATTTAGAAGTATTTATTACTCATCTGCGTCACCATACTTCGTAATTTCAGTTCTCAATCTATCCTATTATCACGAAATGCGTGATATAATTAAATAAATAAAAATATTATACAAAATGGATATATATTGTTTGCCAAAGCGACATTTTAGAACCATTGATTATTTTTTAATTTTTAACAAAGAATTATAATTATTAAAATATTTAAATAATTAGATAGTATTAGATTCAGAATTAAGACAGGATCAGTAGAACCGCTAAATTTGGGGTAACATAATCAAAGTTACCCCAAATCCTGCGTTTTTTAACCATTGACAGTAAGATGTCAATGCATAATATAATTACATTTATTATAATTAATAATATAATAGGCGAGGCTGTCTGTTCATTCAACATTATCCCACTTTGTTCAAATTCATGGAACAGTGGTAACTATTATTTTTTTTTTACTCCTGGAATAGCGATGGGGGTTTACATTAGACCAAAAGCATTTTAAATTACAAATTATTAATAAATTATACTAAAAAAAACGTAGAATAGACCTCATATGCATACCTCCAATGCCTTGAGAGGTTATCACACTATCATATTTATAGGAGCATAGTTCATAATAGATAAGCACTTTTTCAAAATGTGTGACAAACAAGTCATATATTCGAATTACATTAATGTATTAAATATGAACATGCAATATATGATCCTATAAATATATATAATAAAAGTGATAATATAATAACCCCTTATTGAGTGGGGTAACTTACCCCAAATAACATTAGCTATAAATGGTGTTATTCTTACATTCGTCTCGATCAATATATTAATTATATTCAAGTTGTGGTCACGTTGACCCCGTGTTTGCTCCTACTGAGTTCACGGTCGTTACAGTGGGGTAACAGTGATCCCCTATTCATTAAATAACTAAGACGTAAAATAGTTGTTCACCGGTATCCGGCGCGGTGGACTAGCTTCACTCGGGTAGCGCGCTTTAATTTTATCTGCGCGCAAACTCTGCCTTCATTGCTGTAATAAAAAAAAAAAAGAATTGTTAATCTAAAGAAATAAAATAAGGCGGTAATGTTTGTTTATAATAAAGAAGGTAAGGAAGGTAATTTTGAAACTATTAAGGCGATGCTAAAAATGTTTTTTTATTTATTCTACACTATGCTACTACCATAGGCTATATATTCTGCAGTTAATTCCAAGAAAACAACACAAAACGCACGAATAAAGCCGCCGGAAAATAGCTATATTTTTTTTACCACATATTTAGAGAAAAACATGTATGATTTTTCCGTCAAAATCTGTTTATCTGGGCAAGCATTAACATTATATGAAATGCATATACACTTATAGAATAACTCCTATATATGTACTATAAATGTAGGATTTTTTATTATTAAAATATATTCTAATTTCTGTGTTACACCCGTATTAAATAAATTAATAAGAATACAGTTAGAAAATTGCCATGTGGTTTCTCTATAGAATAGGTCATCCCTTCCTTTCCTTTGTGTGTCGTAAGAGGCAACTAAGGGAACTTAGTGGTCGAGGGATGGGGGAAGCAGCGTCCTTCTTATAACGTCACCAAAGCCTAATTACGGTTGCCACCGCCTGCCAAGCGTGGCAACTACTAGTAACCCCCTCCCCCCCCCCCATTTATGGAGGAGGCTTATGTCCAAGAGTGGACAGTAAACAGCTGGTATAATAAAAAAAAAAAACAGTATGAACTACTCCACTGACCGTCTATAATCTCTTTCTTGGCCTGATTGAGTTGCTGTCGCATTTCACGCAGCATCTCTTGCTTGAACGCGTCCCACTCAGCGGCCGACACGCAGCCGCCCTCGTTGCCCCCGTTCACTTGCTGTTAACAAGATTCATCATCATTATCTCTATCATCACCAACATCCTGCTTCTGGATATGGGAGAAAGGGATTGTTAGTGATGCGGACTACCAGATCCATTGCTAGCAATATATAGCCTGTTAGATCAACCTTCACGCGGTCACCCTTGGATACCAACGTGCTGAATTCCAGGTGTATTTATTACGATGGACTAACTGACCTGCCTTTTCATTCTCACCTATAACCTCTCACTGGTGCTCCGCCAGCGTATACCGTTAGCGCAAGCGGAGTTACCATTCCATTATCATACATTAAAAGACTCCCGGATACAAATCTTCTATTATTAATGGAATATTAATAGAACGATTTTTTTTATACAACTTAGTATGGCACACAAGCTGACGGCCCACCTGATGGAAAGTGGTAACGGTCGCCTGAACATGACCAGTAACATGAACAGTACCATGACATAACAGAGTATACTGTTTCGCTCATGATACCCCCCCATGCGTTGCCATTCCTGAGGACTCAAGTGTTATTCCTCTATACCCTGTAAATTCACGCCATATCCCACCCTTCAAACCGATATGATAGAATTGTTCAATTACCGATATTGAAGTCAAGAATTTAACGCTCTTATTTATAAAAAAGGTTAAACAAAACAAGTTAGTGTATAGAAAATGTTTGATATGTCAATTATATTTCAGTGACAAATATTACATTACTAGATTATATATTCGACACAGTTTATGTAGAAAGTATGCAAGCGGGTTGTATCTGAATTTGGTAGGGTTATACGGCGGTAGAATATTTTCCATATATATATATATATATATATATATATATATATATATATATATATATATATATATATATATTTTAATGGATGATAATGGAATGGTAACCCCGCCTGTATATATATACACACACACACACACATTACATATAAAATAATGTATTTATAAATGTTGTGAGCAAGGGTGGACTTATCTCTGACAGAGATCTCTTCCAGTCAACCGTAAGTACAGTAAGAAAGCATTTCGTTAGCGGGCAGCTGAAGTGCTACAACTATTAATACATAAACAAATATACAGTTTAATAAAATATTAAAATATATAATAACAATATATGTATGTATGTATACAATTAGTAATATGATGTATTAGATACCTTGAGTATGGTCTCCTCACTGGCCGAGCCGAACCTCTTACGAACTGAACGCGGCGACTGAGGTTGCTGTTGCGACGGCAGCTCTGAGTTGGCTGTTAACAACAATTACATTTATTGGGGGACGTCCGTTAATAACGTAGGGTAATGTTTATTAAATTTGAACCGCTCTTCTCCTTTGGTGAGATACAGAGGGCCCCTTGACTCCTTAAGTAAGATTAACCAATGGCTAAATTTTATGAGATTTTAAATCATTAAATCAGCCTTTAGCAATCCACTGCTGAACATAAGCCTCCCCAAGGGGGGTTTTACCAGTTGTTGCCAGGCGGATTGGCAACCGTGGTTAAGCTTCGGAGATGTTTTAAGAGGGATACTGCTACCCATCCTTCGCTCTCCCTTAGTCGATTCTTTCGACAGCCACGGGAACGGAAGAGGATGAACTATTCTATGCCAAGATCACACGGGATAGATTTTAAATACTATAACTTAACTATATGATTTGCTTTATTTAAATTTTATTATATTTTGTATGTCAACGTCATTAGTACTCGAGAACATTAACACATAAGGACATTTTTTTTTATGCAACTTAGAATGGCAAACAAGCTGACGGTCCACCTGATGTAAAGTGATAATGAACCATCAGGTAAGCCGCATGCTCGTTTGCCTTATTTGTTATAAAAAATGTATACTCACCAGCAGCCCCATTACAAGCAGTGCCGGCGGGCAGGCGATGTGGAAGCGTGGCGGCACGCTCGGCCCGAGGCGGCGTATGACCTGCTGAGCTATCTGCTGACGACTCCTGTGAAAACAATCACAATATGTCACTATACTTATATTTTTAACCAGACGGAGACTATACAAAAGTCGTTTGCTTGGGCACCTCTGTCTCATTCGTGTTTCTACCGTGAAGCAGTTGTGTTTGCATGGCCGTGTTTCGGATTGAAGGGTGGGATGTGGCAGTGAATTTACAGGGTACAGAGAAGTAACACCTGATTCCTCGGGAATGGCAACGCATGGGGGTATCATGAGCGAAACAGTATACTCTGTTATGTCCATGGTACTGCTCATGTGTATAGGCGACGGTTACCACTTTCCATCAGGTGGGCCGTCTGCTTGTTTGCCATTCTAAGTTGCATAAAAAAATTTTTGTCATGATGGATCAATTGACTTGAGTTTTGGTCTCAGTTTTGAACTAGTGAGTCTGAGTTGAGATTTCTGAACTGGTGAGCTGCTAACATCACCTCGCTCATATAGTGATAGTGTAGGTGGAGCTAGCATTCCTTCATCATTCATTAAAAAATGTGCCGACTGTATATGTATGTGTGATCGTCGTTACCTCATCGCGGTGGGGGTAACTATGTGTTTTTTGTTAATGGTATGGTAACCCCGCTTACGCAGGCGGGGTTACCATACCATTAACAAAATTTCTGCTGCAGTTATACATAAGCTAGGAATAAATGGTTATAGCATTAGATTCTTATCCGACAGCGCAGCAGTACTAAAAACATTACGAAACAACAAGACAAACAACAAACTGATAATTGAATGCCACCATTCACTGGATAGGATATCTTCCAATAACCGTATTATCCTCCAATGGATAAGAGGGCACAGTGGATCTTATGGTAACGATGCCGCAGACGATCTAGCTAGGAAAGGCTCAGGAACGAGGGTGGTAGGCCCGTATCCACTCCTTCCTCTTCCATTCTCACAACTTCGAATGTGGATTCGTCAAAGATCCTCTGACATACAAAACCAAAGATGGATACAGGCTACTGATTGCAGACAATCAAAATTGGCCGTACCCATGTTGAATCAACGACTATCAAAACGTTTATTACATCTAGACAGAAAAAACCTCAAAACAATGATAGGGACAATAACGGGTCATTGTCCATTAAACAAACATCTATACACAATAGGAGCCACAGACAGCCCTCTATGTCGAGGCTGTTTCAACGCCGAAGAAACGGCTGCTCACGTAATCCTGGAATGTGAGGCTGTGGCCCATCAACGTTTAGAAATCCTCGGAACGGTGAGGTCGGTCCGTGAGGCCTGTGAAGAACCCAGGAAGCTTCTGCGCTTCTGGGCGGAGCTAGGTTGGCTGCACTAGCCACGACTCATACGCACAATGGCCCAAATGAGAGGCTAAGTGCGGAAAATGGAGTCCCTTTCACATTCACCATTAACAAAAAACACATCGGTATACACTGGCGGGGTACCAGTGAGCGGTGATAGGTGAGGATGAAAAGCAGGTTAGTTAGCCCATCGTGACGAATTCAACGATAGTTATGATAGTTTCCAGGGGAAACCACATGGAGATCGACCTGATAGGGTATATTAGTAACAATGGAGACTAACTTTCTTATCAGGGGGGGGGGGGGGGGGTAAAGGGATTATTAGTAATGGAGACTGAAAATTCCATTGCTAGCAATATACCTAACCAGGTTGACCTACACACGGTTCCCCCTGGAAATTATCATTGTTAATTCCTGATGAATTCATCATGACGGGCTAACTGGCCCGTTTTTATTCTCATCGATCACTCTTCACTGGTGCTCTGCCAGCGTGTTCCGTTAGCGCAGGTTACCATTCCATTTTCACCTATCAAAAAAAACCTTATTACTAGCCATTACTTTCCCCCCTTGTAACTACGTGTGGTCCGTGTGTTTGTATGCGTGTGCGTGTGCGTGTCCGGTTACCTCAGCGCGGTCGAGGTGTGCGCGGCGGCGTGCGAGCGTGCGTGCCATCTCGTTCATCATGCAGTGCAGCGTGCCGGCGCGGCCTCCCCCTCCCCCGCCGCCTCCTCCTCCTCCTCCTCCTCCTCCTCCGGCCGCGGAGCCGCCCGACGACGACGACGAGCCGGAGTGCTCCGCCCCGCCGGGGGGAGACGCCGCCTCACCAGTCACAGTTTGCTGTCGAAATATTCATACAAGTGAGTACATACCAATAAAAATATTAGGAGAAAATTATATTTTTTCTCAAACATGCTTGGAAATGTGTGCATTATTTTGACAATCTTCTTCGAGATAAATCAAAATTGCCGTACTGGCCAGATACATGCGGGCAGCGGCCGGCAAAAGTTGTATAAAAATCAATTTCTGTCGTGTTTTACGGCCAGATAAATTACTATGTAAACTCATATCTGTCCTGTAATTTACAAAAAGGGAATAATCTTTTACTTTGAATCATGGCTACCAAGGAGGTAACTAATACAAGGTTTAATTTAAATTTCGAACTGGCTTGCAAATAGAAAGCTGTTTGTTGAAAAAAAAAAACAAAGGAACAATTTGGCACGTGAAAAATTATTATTGTTCGTTATTCTTCATTGAACTTAAAAAATAAAATTGTGTTTTTGATTTCTGTGCATTGTTTGAGAAAAATACTATACAAGCCTTAGCCACAACTAGGTATTGATGGACTCACGTATGTGTGCCTCGGCTACGCCTCGGCCCACATTTTCACATTCGTCCATCAATGCCTCAGTTGCTGGCCGCTGCAGTAATGTACTATTTATACCGTACTTGTCATTGTGTGTTACAAGAAATAAATCAGAAAATTAATTCAGTGACTTTCAGTTACATTTAGCAAGCCGTTAAACCACGTGTGTTTACGAACAAACATTTGCGTAGACATATATCTAATTATCTTAAATCTATCACGTAAGTTCTGCTTATTTTTTTTTTTTTTTATTTCAGGTTCCCCTACATTTAAGCTTAAGTTACTACCTTAAAGATTAAGTAAATTTTTTATATCACTGAGGTGGCAAACAGGAATATGATTCACCTGATGATAAGCGGTTACCGTAGCCTATGAACGCCTGCAATCCAGGGGTATTGCGCGTGCGTTGCCGACCTTGAATAAACCTCTTTATCCCTTTTTTTAAAGAAACCTATGCTGTAATGTCTTATTATTATTATTTCGTAACCGTAAGCACATAGGTGAATATTGGATTGTTACCGATTGTTATTTCTAGATTTGAGCAATATTTTAATTAGCTGTGGTTGTTTTGTGAGTAGATGGCGCACTATTTTTTTTTTTTAATGGGTGAAAATGGCATGGTAACCCCGCCTGCGCTAACGGGATACGCTGGCGGAGCACCAGTGAAGGGTGATGAGAATGAAAACAGGCCAGTTAGCGCATCATGATGAATTCATCAGGAATAAACCATGATAGTTTCCAGGGGGAACCGCGAGGAGGTGGACCTGGTTGGGTATATTGCTAGCAATGTGATTCTCAGTGTCCATTACTAACAATCCGTTTTCCCCCGGCGCTCCGTACTGTATAGTAGTACATGTGTACGAGCGTGCTGTCTCACCCTGGGCGCGGTGTTGGTCCGCTTTAGGCGGGCCTGCTGCAGCTGCGCGGCCAGGCCGGCGGGGTCGGGCGCGGGCGGCGCGGGCGGCGGCGGCGGCGGCGGCGGCGAGCACACGCCCGCGACGCCCGCGACGCCCGCGACGCCCGCCGGCGGCGGCGGCGGCGGCGGCGGCCCGCCGGCTGGCACCGCGGCCGGCGCCGGCGGCTGCGACATCTGTTTGACAAAATAAACAAAATATATTCACAATATCATTTAATTAACCACTACCGTTTAATTAGTCAAGTAAATGGTTGTTGTAAATACTAAAAAATAACAAATAAATAAAATAAAATATTTATTTAACAAAGTATGTTTGTATTAGCACAGAATGTATCATTGCCTCCTACACTGGGCTGAGCGTGTCCTGTAGGAAGCAGTACACGTGTTATACCATACATGCATATAGATATTAAACATAGGCTTTTTAGCAGTACTGATAATTGTGTAACTAATTTGTGTAATGCAATTATTTCATTTAGATCTCACCACTAATACACATGTATGAATAAGTATTACGAATGTGTGTGTGCATGCGTGTGTGTGTGTGTGTGTGTCTCTGTGTGTCTGTGTGTGTCTCTGTGTGTCTGTATGTGTGTCTGTGTGTCCAGACTCGCTTTCATATTTATCATATCAACTTACTTTAACAGCTGAAAATAAGCCTCACTCTTGGAGAGTTTTGCCAGTAATTACCACTCCTTGATTGGATTGGCAACCGCAGTTAGGTTTTAGAGATGTTTTAAGAGGGACGCTGCTGCCCATTCCTCGCCATCCCTTAGTCGCCTGTTATGACTTTCCCCCGGGAAAGGGGTGGCCTATTCTATGCCGGGACCATACGAGCTATAATACTAGTAAATATTGAACTACTGGCTAATTTCAGTGTAGTATTATCTGCTACGTGTCATTGTAAGCTGATATGGAGAGAGACCAATACCTAATACTGGGACTTTAGGGGGGAAGAGATTGTTAGTAATGAAAACTACCAGTCCCATTGCTAGCAATATATCCTATCAGGTCGACCTCCACGTGGTCCCTGAAAACCATCGTGCTGAATGCTGCATCCAGGACTCATCACGACGGACTAACTGACCTATCTTTTCGGAAGGAAAGGGATTGTTATTAATGGCGATTTACCAGCAATATACCCTATCAGGTCGAACTCCACGCGGTTCCCCCTGCAAACCATCGTGGTTAATTCTTGTAGAGTTTGTCAGGATGGGTTAACTGACCTTTTTTTTTAACGTCTGGAAAATGCTTTATGCAGACCGATACACCCTGTGGGGGGGTGAACGGGTACTGTGGGAATCCCCCTGTAAAATGGGAGTGTACCCACCAAAAACCAGACGATATACCCTCGAGGTGCCGTATGTCGGAGACATGGGTTCGCTTTCGCACCCACATCTCCGACAGCAGCGACCCGTCCCCAGATGATAAGAGCAGGTCTCCTCTCTCAAGACAGGGTGGCTGGCGTGCTCACCCTACCACTCGAGGGATGCGTCGGTATATTAGCACATCCCCCAGGATGGGCTAACTGACCTGCTTTCATCGTCACCTATCACCCCTCACTGGTGCCTCGCTAGCGTATACCGATAGCGCAGGCAGGGTTACAATTACTTCAATCGTACTATTAGGAAGCTATATTGTACAATATTATGTCTGGACTCACCATGGGCGGCGGTTGAGGGGCAGCGGGCGGGGTCGGTGGTGCCATCGGGCCCTGTATAATAATTATTTATTTATTTATTTAAATAAATATATATAAGTGCATATATTTGTTTGTTGTTTTCTCATTGTGATTATTTCTTGTAATTATTTATATTTATAATAAGTTTACTATTGTAATCTTTTGGAGGGAACAATAAAGAGTATCTATCTATCTATCTATATGGCAGATTTAACACGTTCTCTATCTGTCAACCATAGAACAAAAAACGAATGGAATGTGACAAACCATCATAATTTAATAGATAATATTTTTTTTTTGTCTCTACCATTTCACAATTTCTAACAAACAGTCACGGGTTGACTGGAAGAAATTCCTTTTACGGGATAAGTCCGCCATTGTACTTAAAAATTCTGCAGGTATCCTACAATTTAAGACTTCACTATAAAGTGTTATAAGTAAATAGAACGTTGTTCTATTAAAAAAAAAAAAAAAAAACTTCAATCAAGTTGCTATGTAAACCAGTTACTTTGAGTTGTTAATTCAAAATAATTACTGAAGCGATTTTGATGAAATTTCTATGAAATCAATCTGCAATATATATTTTTTCAGATAAATAAAAACAGGATTTTCCAAATCGATTGATAAACGACGGAATTCTGAAGTAACAAATATAAAAAACATATACAACTAAACTGATAGCCTCCTTTTCTTGAAGTCGGTTAAAAAACTATCAAAACTAGTATACAATTACTTATTGATCAACAAAATCAAATGAAAAAAAAAATAGAGAAACTTAAAGATAGTTTATTTAATTTGTCCAATTTGTCCATGGATGGTTCACTGGTAGACTGGTAGAGAACACCGTCCGGTGTTAAATTCACCATATGTAATGTACATAGAATTTCACTGCCCATTAAAGTTTTATTAAATAAATAAATAAATAAATAAAATAGTTTAATAAACCCAAAGATCCAATATTCAATTATAAAAACCAAGCTAAAAATAATATTAAGTTGAACAACATCAACACGGTCTTCTCTTGCCCGCCGGATGATGTGCGGGCGGGCGAGGTACGGGCCTCGGGGCGTACCCTACTACCCCGGCCTCTACTCCGGAGGCGACGACCTCCGGGTCGCTGGGTTTTCCAGCCGGCATACACTGATGGTCTGTGTATGCCGGCGTGGTGTCTTAAATATAAGTTGAGAAGGATGCCCGTTCGGGTGTAATACTGACGTTAGAGGGGGCGCTGAATAAATAAAAAATAAAAAAAAAACAATAAAAAAAAATTGTGAAATTTAAAGATAGTTCCAATAACTATCAAAATATCATAAATTATCAACTCAAATGAATATTCATGCATTATTATTGTTATTATTTTTATAATTAGCTACAAATAACACAAGTTGAGAAGGATAGGTATAATAGATAAGTAGAGACGGGATACTGACGTTAGCGGACGCGCAGGGCGGCAGGTTCTGGTGCGGCGGCACGGGCGGCGGCGCGGGCGGCCCGGCCGACCCCGCCGCGGCCGCGCCCGCCGCCGACAGCGACATGTTGGGCGGCATCGGCGCGCTGCGGGACCGCCAACAAACACATTATACTTACATTTTTCTTTATACGACTTAGAATGGCAAACAAGCTGACGGCCCACCTGATGGGAAGTGGTAACCGTCGCCTATACACATGAACAGTACCATGGACATAACAGAGTATATTGGGGGGAAAAGGATTATTAGCAATGGAGTTTGACAGCCCCATTGCTAGGAATATACCTTATTAGGTCGACCTCCACGTGGCTCCCCCTGGAAACCATCGTGAACAATTCTTGTTGAATTCGTCACGATGCACTAACTGACCTGCTTCATCCTCGCCTATCATCCTTCACTGGTGCCCCACCGGTGTATACCGATAGCGTGGGTGGGGTTACCATTCCATTATCATACATTTAAAAAAAAACAGAGTATACTGTTTCGCCCATGATATCCCCCATGCTTTGCCATTCCTGAGGACTCAGGTGTTACTCCTCTATACCCAATAAATTCACGCTATATCCCACCCTTCAAACCGAAACACAGCCATGCAAACACAACTGCTTCACGGTAGAAACACGAATGGGACAGAGGTACTCAAGCAATCGACTTTTGTACAAAGTCTCCATATGGTAAATTCTCACCGGTGTTCCGCCAGCGTATACCGTTAGCGCAGGCGGGACTACCATTTTACCATTCCATTATCATCCATTAAAAAAAGCTATATAAAGTACTCTTGTTGAGTTAAAATATTATTATACGAATACTGTGTCCAATGTACCAAATTTCATTTAAATAAGTTTCTGTCATTGTTTTTACAAATTTTCACATTAATAATAATAATCATCATCATCATCATATCAGCCGTAAATTGTCCACTGCTGAACATAGCCCTCCCTTTAGGGGTTTTTTATTTTATTTATTTATTTATTTTTTGGAAAACGTACAGATGAATTACAGTCAATACATAATCAAATTTATATCTATGTTAAGCCATGAATCGGTTTCACATTTGCGTAATGACACAATTCATCGGTTTTTATATATGCAAAATACATACATACACACACATACACATACATACATACATACATACATACATACATATATATATATATATACATATATATATACATATATATATATATATATATATATATATATATATATATATATATACGCACACACATACGCATACATACACACATCTATAATAATTAAATTTGTCAGTAGTTGCCACGCTAAGTAGGCGGGTTGACAAGCGCAGTTAGGCTTTGGTTCTGTTTTAAGAGGGACACTTCTGCCCATTACTAACAATCCCTTTCCCCCCCTATGTTTAACAGTGGACAGTTTTAACGGATTAAGTGAAGAAAAAAAAAATTATGAGTATTCCCTACCTGTTGGTGCGGTGGTGCGTGGGCGGCGCGTGCGCGGCGTGGGCGGCGTGCGCGTGCGCGTGCGGCAGCGTGTGGCCGGCGCCGTGCGGCGGCGGCGCGGGCGGCGGCGGCGCCGCCGGCTGCTGCGTATATACGTACTTTATTACAATACTGTCTCTTGTAAACGTGAATAAAATGCTCACCCTCACTGGCGACATCGTTTGTCATATTAAGAAGCCTGTATACTCGACAAGAGTATATTGTTTCCACATCTATAATTACGTACCAATTAAAGAAATAATATATAACTAAATTTACTTCAAGTCGCATTAGATGTTTAGTTTCTACAATAAAAAAAAAAATAAACAACTTTTCTTGAAACTATCATAGAAACACTCACAAAATGAAATTAGTAATAAATGGAAACAGGCAATTGATTTACCCATATCTACTTATATTAATATTGGTATTGCAGACGTTCATTCATAGGCTACAGTGACCGTTTACCATCAGACGGGCTTATTTTATTATTATATATTTTATTATACTACTAGCTGACTTGGTAAACGTTGCTTTACCGTATACATTATTTCGAGAAATATACATGAAAATTCATCGTATTACAATTATTATATTCGATCGCCATCTTGCAACCATATTGCGGGTAATAAATATCGCGATCAAAAAACAGGGGTTGATCAGAAAAACGTGAAAATTTGAATTTTTATGTATTTTTCAATGCTAAATCATAATAAAATACAAATGTAAAAATTTGTCAAAAAAATAAAAAAAAATGTTTTGGGGAAGGTAACCTTTACCATTGAGGGGTATGAAAAATAGATGTTGGCCGATTCTCAGACCTACCCAATATGCACACAAAATTTCATAAAAATCGGTAAAGCCGTTTCGGAGGAGTTTGGTAACAAACACCGTGACACGAGAATTTTATATATTAGATTTGCCACCTTTGCGGCATAAAAAAAAACAACATAGACTGCCTTACAATCGAACACTTGTCTGTTTATATTTTCATTAAATTCTACTGAAAAACATAAACATATACGTTTTGCAACAATCTTGACTAGTAATGAAGTAATAGTTGACAAGATATTTCATAGACACATTTGATAGACTCCTATGTCTATGAATTTTTTTTTATGCATCTTAGAATGTCAAACAAGCTGATGGAAAGTGGTAACCGTCGCCTATAGACATGAGCAGTACCATGGACATAACAGAGTATACTGTTTCGCTCATGATACATCCATGCGTTGCCATTCCTGAGGACTCAGTTGCTATTCCTCTGTACCCAGTAAATTCACACCATATCCCAACCTTCAAACCGAAACACAGCCATGCAAACACAACTGATTCACGGTTGAAACACGAATGGGACAGAGGTACCCAAGCAATCGTACAAAGTCTCCCTCTGGTAAATAATAAAGCACAGATGCATAACAACTAAGTCCTTAAAAGTAGCAATGCATAAACGATATTTTAGGCGTCACAGTGTAAACTGTGATGCCCATAATTCTATCCTATAGATATCTATAAGTGAAGAGTATGATTTTCCATTGATCCTTATCTGGATTTAAGAATTACAATTTTAATGATTCTTTTACAAAACTAATTGATTTACAGTTGTTTAGATTGACAAATAAAATTTTCAAATATTATGGAAGCAGGGGTATACCTGGTGATGGTGATGGGGAGCGTGGTACTGGCTGGGTGGGGCGTGGTGCTGGTACTGCGGCTGCTGGTTGTGCGGCGCGTGGTACTGCGGCTGTTGAAGCATCGCAGCGTCCTCTCGCGTCATCGTTCTACAACAGTATCAAGGTTATATATTTTAATATAATTATGTATGTTATATAATTTATTTATTTATATTTATTGTACACGTTGATAGTACATAAAAATATGTCAGAGCTAAGTTTTTTTTTTTTATATACAACTTAGAATGGCAAACAAGCTGACGGCCCACCTGATGGAAAGTGGTAACCGTCGCATATAGACGTGAGCAGTACCATGGACATAACAGAGTATACTGTTTCGTCCATGATACCCCCCATGCGTTGCCATTCCTGAGGACTCAGGTGTTATTCCTCTGTACCCTGTAAATTTACGCCACATTCCACCCTTCAAACTGAAACACAGCCATGCAAACACAACTACTTCACGGTAGAAACACGAATGGGACAGAGATACCCAAGCAATCGACTTTTGTACAAAGTCTCCCTCTGGTAGATAGTAATGAGAAAATTAGACCCTATTACTAACAATCTCTTGCCGCCAAAAGATACAGGAGGACTATTAGCTTGTTTACCATTTTATTTAGATCATCATCAACACAGACGTTTTTTGTCTACATATCTGCTGAACATAGGTCTCCCCCATAGACTACCATAAGGAATGGTCTTGAGCCACCTGCATCTATTCCAAGCTATATATATATATATATATATATATATATATATATATATATATACGAGGTCTGTCCGGAAAGTTCGTATAAAAGTGTTCTGGAATGCGAGAAAGAGGAGTGGGGAGGCCAGGTAAGCGCAGGACCCCTTCCTTATGTCCCTAACAATGCTTCAGTTCTGGTCTGACCGCCGTGCGGTGCGAACTGGCTTGTCACGCCATCTGTGAAGTTACCTCTTAACGAAACCCCGTCGGCATGGAGCCCGCTTCCGTTGAAGAGCAGCGCGTCGTAATCAAGTTTCTCTCGAAACTCGGCAAGAATGGCCGTGAAATTTTTGCCGATCTCAGAACAGTTTATGGGGATGATGCTGTGAAGGAACCAACCGTCCACAAGTGGCTAAAAAGATTCAGAGAGGGCCGAGAAAGCGTTCAAGATGACCCACGTTCAGGACGTCCTTCCACTTCACATTCCGACGAAAACGTGGAAAGAATTCGAACTTGTGTTAATGGGGACCGTCGTTTAACGGTCAGACAGGTGGCTGAAGAGCTTAATTTGGGCAAAACCGTGGTCCACGAAATTCTAAGAAACGAACTTCAAATGAAAAAAATTTGCGCCAAGATCGTTCCGTGAGTTTTTGAGTAAAAATTCCATTACGGTGACCGAACACCTCCCCTATTCGCCGGATTTGGCCCCGTGTGACTTCTTCTTGTTCCCAAAAACCAAATTGGTACTTCGGGGGCGGCATTTGGGGGACATAAATGAGATAAAAAAAGCTACGACGGGGCAGCTGAGAAACCTACAACCAGAGGACTTTCAAGGAGCCTTCTCACAGTGGAAACGGCGTTGGCACAAGTGCATTATGTCACAGGGGGAGTACTTTGAAGGGGATAAAATTGATTTACCTGAATAATTGTAAAATAAAATTTTTAAAAAACTTTTATACGTACTTTCCGGACAAACCTCGTATATATATATATATATAAATTATCGCTAGGGCAATCTCTTACAGACAACCTTTGGTTAAAGGAGAACAGATTAATTATCATAATATATATATTTTTTAATTCAATTCACTCATAATCGTATCTTCTGATATTGCTCACAACTTAGGTTACATGTTTGTTTTTATTATTTACTTCATTTTCTCGCACTGTATAACTATGTTAAAGTGAATGCTGTGAATACCTATAATAGGCATGTGCATTACAATTGTATTATATTTAATGTTTGTTATACCTACATGTTATAATGCAATATGCTGGTGGTGTTCCTTAAATCAATAAATAAATAAACAGAAGTGGGCAGGTGGTGCAAGAGTGAATTAATAATTTTTTGTGCATAAAATACAATGATCTTAAATAGACCCCGTAGATTTTGACACATGTCCCTTAGGGAAAGCTGCACCTTTTTAGAACCACACGCTCGGTTTCTGCTATACTTTCCATTATGTACACTATCACATTTTAAAATAAAAATACCTGTATCCCATATCTTCGTCGTAGTTGTGAACGTTGTTGTGCCCGTTATAGGGTCCCGGTGGATTTGGCGGCTGGGGCGGCGGCGGCGCAGAGTTGTTGCTGGGCTTGTTGGCTAAGATCTGAAATTATATATTTTTTTATTATACCACTGAGGTGGCAAACAAGCATACGGCCCACCTGATGGTAAGTGGTTACCGTTACGGTGATTTAAAAATATAAATTGACGGATACTATATGCGTTACAGAACAATTTATGTTTACAATGATGACCAATTCTCGTCAAAAAAAACGTCAATTCGTACTAGGTTTTCAGTATTCTAAGAAGTCGCAGTAAAAAATAACTCACCATTACGTTTGGTCGGCAAAAATAGTTTAAATACATAGACAGATACTATCTCCCCAAAAAAAAAAAAAAAACTTAGCAAACACAAATATTACAAGAATCACACAGAGAAAACAATCGTCGACATCGTGGCTAAACGCGATCTCTTCCAACTACCTTTGGATGGAGAGAAAATAGGAACAGTTTGGTTGAAGGCACGATCAAATTCTTTGTGTTTTACAAATACCGAGGACTAGAATTGTACCCAGGACAAGAATACCACCACAAACCGTTTCAAATACATTCCTCTATTAGAGTATTCAAAATTACTAACATAATATAACATCAACAACCCGATATTGAGTGCTCTTAAACGAAGTAATTAACTAATTGAGTGTACTTATTAATTAAATAATGAATTAATTATATTTACTAAGGGAGCTCGACAGTTTCCCAATTGGTTATTATAGTTACACTAGCAACCCGCCCCGGCTTCGCACGGGTGCAATGCTGATAATAAATATACCTACATAATATATAAAATAAAAAAATGGATAAAAAATAATGCTGTATTGCTTAAAATCACTTCGTAAATAAGCCATTTTTTCCCGTAAACTGTAAAGGATAAAAAATGGTTATTGTCGGTTATCCTTAAGAGATAGACATATACCGTCGCGGACATTTTTGTTGACCTTTTTAAGGTGTACAATACTGTAGTACATTATTTTGATTTATCTCGTGGGGCTCAGCCAACGTTTGCAATGTAAGCGCAAAAAAAAATATGTTTATTTACGACATCACATTAGAAACTTCTAAATTTATCAGTGTTCCTCTACAATATTATACATGTATTATAAATACAAACCTTCGTCTTGAATCACTCTATCTATTAAAAAAACCTGCTTCAAAATCCGTTGCGTAGTTTTAAAGATTTAAGCATACATAGGGACGGACAGACAGCGACAGCGACTTTGTTTTATAATATGTAGTGATGAAGCAGCTGTGTTTGCATGGCTGTGTTTCGGTTTGAAGGGTGGGATATGGCGTGAATTTACTGGGTACAGAGGAATAACATCTGAGTCCTCAGGAATGGCAACGCGTGGGGAGTATCATGGGCGAAACAGTATACTCTGTTATGTCCATGATACTGCTCATGTCTATAGGCGACGGTTACCACTTTCCATCAGGTGGACCGTCAGCTTGTTTGCCATTCTAAGTTGTATATATAAAAAAGATGATGTTAGTGATATTCGGTACAAAATATTTACTCTTTAGAAAAAAACTTGTTCTCTATTTTGTAAAATATCATTAAACATATGAAATTTTTTTATATAGTTTTATCTTCTATATATTTATACAGCATTTTGTGTATTTTCTTTATTTTACGTGCTTGCTTTACATGAATTAATCAAGTTGTGCACATAATGTAATTGGACTGTAACCTAGCCGAATCACAAATGTAAATATTAAAGTTTTTTATAGTTATGATCTGTTTTATTTGTTTAATAAATAAATAAAAAAATAAATTCGCTCCCTTAGCAATCACAATATATACAAACATAATAAATTTTAATTACTGGACACCATCTAAACATTTAATCGCCACTCAGCAAAACTCGACAAGTTCACAAGTCAATATATCCAATTTCGGATACTGGCTCATGACACCGTTGAGCCAAGTCAATGCCAATTATGACACAAAGAATATTTAATGGGTTACCTTCTGATACTCAGGTATTGTCTCTGATTAAATTTAATAAAGAGCTAACTAAATTGGCTTTTGGACAAACTTTTTTATAGTATTAAGGAATATCTTGAGTGTTAAGCGTGACGTTTTAATTATTTTTTATCCCTTCTATTGACATTTTTCTATTTTGTAAATTTATTGTATTAGTTGTTATGTGTAGATATATGTATAAATGACATAATGTACTATAATTTAGACTTTTAATATGTAAGGTCAATTTAAATAATGTAATTTAATTATAATTTTGTTTACCGGTTTTTTTTATATATAAAATGTCAAATATTTGCATGGCTACATCTTTTAAGGCAATTAAACAGGTGACCACGTAGTTTGTAATAATTTTAGAATAGAATAGAATAGAATAGAATAGAATAGAAATCATTTATTCAAATAAACTTACATTGAAGCACTTTTGAAAAGTCATTACATTTTTTTTTAATTTACCGCTCGTTCGGAAAGCTGTCTCATCACAAGAAGAACGAGCAAGAAACTTGCGTGATGCTCTTTTAAATAATTTTATTATTATTTTACATTTTTAAGTTTAATTGTGTGAATACAAACCACCAATTACCACTAATTCAATTAAATACTCAAAAAGAAAAAAAAATTGAATACATAACCAACTGGTTAAACAATTAATAAGAGGAAATCAGTCATAGTGATTAGAGCAGACCAGTCCCTACAAGCAGCACCCGTTCACGAGTATGACGGATGAGCCAGCCATCACTGCGCTCGACCATATTTTAGGGAGCCCAATGACCCGGCCCACCACGCCGCCACAAGTCTGGACATTTTAGTGAGCATGACTACTCAAAACACTAGACCACGTCAAAGCTACTCACAATTGCCATCTGATAGTTATAGTATTCACATTTTACATAAGAATGCATGCGGCAATTAATACAAAAAACCGCTACGCTTTCATATTTCTAAAATTAATCAATTAAATCAAGAAAGCAATGAGAAAATAAAATTATAACGTTGTATGCTAATAAACTAATTATTTACTTGATATGTTGTCATCTATGAATTCGTCTATCCTGTAATAGGCTTTCTTACATAAAAATTGTTTAATATAAGATTTGAATTGCCTCTCTGTCTGATTTAATGCAGATTCCGGCAGTTTATTATAAAATCTTATGCAATTACCATAGAATGAATTACTGATTTTGTGCAGACGGCATTTAGGTAAAATAAGCTTATTTATATTGCGTAAGTTTCTACTTGTACAGTCTTTGAGTTTTTTAAAACTCGCTAAGTTCTTCCGTGTATACATAATATTTTCATAAATGTATTGTGAAGTAACTGTGAGGATATTTGAGTCTTTAAAGCACTGACGTAATGACTCTCTTGAACCCATACCATAAATAGAACGTATGGCTCTCTTTTGTAAAACAAATATAGTATTTATATCGGCTGCTTTACCCCACAGCAGTATGCCATAAGACATTATGCTATGGAAATAACTAAAATATACAAGTTTAGCCGTCGCCACGTCTGTTAATTGCCTAATTCTTCTAATTGCATATGCAGCAGAACTGAGTCTACTGGCCAATTTTGAAATATGGGGCCCCCATTGTAATTTCGAGTCTACTGTTATACCTAAAAAAACTGTATCATTAACAAAATTTACTATTTCATCATTAAGCAATAACTGTGTATTTATTAGTCTTACATTAGGAAGTGTAAATTTTATACACTTTGTTTTGCTGGAATTTAATAATAGGTTATTACATGTAAACCAATTTAATATTGCAGACATAGCACAATTTACATCGTCTAATTGATTACTTTGACGTCCAATTTTAAACACTAACGAAGTATCATCCGCAAACAGCACTATATCTGCAATTTTCTCTACCATAAAGGGAAGGTCATTTATGTAGATTAAAAAGAGAAAGGGGCCTAAGATTGACCCTTGTGGAACGCCCATCTTTAAACTGTTTAATGCAAATAAACTCATTTCATTTCATTTCATAGAGTGGAATTCAGGTCAGGTAAGCTGTATTTCGTAGAACTGTAGAGGTGGCACCCCTAACGTGTTGCCATTCCTCAGGACTATGGTATTATGCCTCCGTACCGTGTGATTTCACAGCCATAGTCTGTGTCACATCTTTCAAGTCATGCGAGTCTCTCTCTGATGAGACTCTGCTAGCAGTATATTCTATAAAGAACCAAGCTCACCTCTAATGTGTGCATCATGGCCCTCGCGAAGCTGTCGGCGTCCTCGCGACACGAGAAGTTGAGGCCGTACACGTGGCGAGCGTCGCGCCACTGGTGGAATGTTGCCGTCGCTTGGTTGTACTTTAGACCGCGGACGATGCCACAGTTTATAACCACCTGCAAAGAGTGAAATATAGAATGTAGGTAACGAGTTTTATTATTATTTATTATTATTATTCTTTTATATTCATGCAACTTAGAATGGCAAACAAGCTGACGGCCCACCTGATGGAAAGTGTTAACCGTCGCCTACATACATAGACATAGACATGAGCAGTACCATGTGCATAACAGAGTATACTGTTTCGCCCATGATACTCCTCATGCATTGCCATTCTTGAGGACTCAGGTGCTATTCCTTTGTGCCCTGTAAATTCACTGCTATATCCCCAAACCGAAACACAGCTATGCAAACACAAGTGCTTCAGGACTTTTGTACAGTCTCCCTCTGGTATGACAACTAGTTATCCGCCCCGAGATACATTGAACGGGTAGAAAGATAGATTAGTATTGTGTATTAGTCTAAATGTCACTCTTTAAATATCACCAAAGCCTAACTGCGATTGACCCGCCTGCCCAGCTTAACAACTATTGACAATCCCCCCCCCCCCCAATAGGGGGAAACCTATGTTAAGCAGTGTACAGTTAACCGTCGATATGATGACGATGATGATTATCTTTAATGGGCAATTTTTGATACTTTTGGGTTGGATTATTGTAATTTTCATGCCGGTTTCCAATCTTTTATAAAATAATATATAGCATATATAACTTACTGATAATGCAGTGTTCTTTAAAGAAAATATTTTTTAAAATCGATTGAGTAGTTTTTGTGTTTATCCATCACAAAAAAAAAAACAAACATACAAAAAATTAAATCTTTTCTCTTTTGGTACAGACAATTAATACACACTCCATAATCTGTATGGATACTAGTTGTCCGGCCTGGCATGTTATGGACATTGCAGTTAGGTTTATAACTAATGCCTATAACATTTGTCATTATAAATTTGATCCAGTACTTGTACTCAAGTATATCTCACTATATTTTTGTATCAATAATTCCCTTTAAGAAAATAGACTACTAAGATATTATGTATTATTTATTTATGTATCAATGTTTTGAGTATGTGAGGTATTTTATAAATTTAGGGTATGATGAGGCTGACATATCCTTATAGGATAAAAGCCTCTAAATAAATAAGATAAAAAAAAAGTATATCTTATCACTAGTGGGTCTCTTGTTAATCTATGTATTAGTTAACTTAGTGTTAGTAATTTAATGGCTTTCAAGGTAATTGATTAACGAGCGTCTTTTAATGTGTTTGAAGCTCAGTTAAGATAATATTGATTCAAAGCAACAGTCTTCATATCCAGGGTTTTGAAATAGTCTTAAAAAAATAAAGAATATATCTCGGTAAGATTTTATGGGTGAAAATGATATGGAAAGGGATTGTTAGTAATAGAGACTGAGAATCCCATTGCTAGCAATATACCCTACCAGGTCGACCTCTTCGCGGTTCCCCCTGGAAACTATCATGGTTGATTCCTGATGAATTCATCATGATGGGCTAACTGGCCTGTTTTCATTCTCATCTATCACCCTTCACTGGTGCTCCGCCAGCGTATCCCGTTAGCGCAGGCGAGGTTACCATACCATTTTCATCCATCAAAAAAAACCATCGTGGTTAATTTCAATAAGCGTGAAATTTAGAATTTTTAAAAATTTAAAATCTAAGTACTTGAAATATCATAATTTTAAAATTTAAACAATTCTAATTTCTAAACACTATAATTGTTAGGGATTGATAATATGGATACCGATCCGATATCCATATATTGGGTTTCTTTGGACATTGATGGCGGAAAAAAGGTAATTACCCCTTTCGACATGGCCCATATCGGTCGGATATCTATTTTTGAATACGTTAAAAGTCTGTTATCCAATATTATTTTTCGGATAACAGACTTTTAACATATTCGTTATTGGACCAATATATAAATGTTGTAACTAAAATATATATATATATATTACCAACCGCAAATACAATAATAGATATTCAGGTGTAATTTTTTTTTTCTTTATCTATCACTAACGATCCGTCCCGGCATCGCACGGGTAGATACATAGTTAGAAATATAAATTAATCTAGACTAATATAATAAAGAGGAAAGATTTGTATGTTTGTGTGTATGTAATGAATAAACTCAAAAACATCATGTTCGTTATTGGACCAATATATAGATATTGCAATATATAGCCCGCTTTTAATAATTGTCACCATTTTTCTTACCTCGTGGTCGTTTAATTTCCTCCCGACGACTCGGAAGGTGTTGTGCTGCGTGTGATGGTATATGTGCACCTTGGACAGCCCCGAACTGGACCCTGACGGCACCCAGCGCTTGAGCCCATCGTCGTACACCATCACGGAGGCGCGAGCGCTGCTTATGGATTGCTCGCTGCAAAGAAACAAAACATTCTTCTATGAACATCGTCGTATTGGGGGGCAAAACGATTGTTAGCAATGGAGTTTGACAGCCCCATTGCTAGCAATATGCCTTATTAGGTCGACCTCCACGTGGTTCCCTAAGGAAACCATCGTGAACAATTCTTGTTGAATTCGTCACGATGGGCTAACTGACCTGCCTCATCCTCACCTATCATCCTTTACTGGTGCCCCACCGGTGTATACCAATAGCGCGGATGGGGTTACCATTCCATTATCATCCATTAAAAAAAACATCATCTTATTTGTTATAATGATAATTTTCCAAAATTGGTCATAAAGATTTTCAATTACTTGTAAATGGAGACGTAATGATCTCTATAATTGTAGACCCGGATTCGATTGCCAGTCAAAGCAGAAATTTTCTAAATGGGCCCTAAAAGCGAAACCGTTTCGGTTTTCGCCTCCAGATAAACTTTCTTTTATTTACTAATCTGTATCCGTGACTTCGTCCGCGTGACTTGGATGTTTACTGGCCGACATAAAAAGCCTATATTATTCTCCATCCCATATGGTACGCGTTTACCCTTTGGGGGGAAGGGATTGTTAGCAATGGAGTTTGACAGCCCTATTGCTAGCAATATACTCTATCAGGTCAACCTCCGCGTGGTTCCCCCTGGAAACCATCGTGAACAATTCTCGTTGAATTCGTCACGATGGGCTAACTGACCTGCTTCATCCTCATCTATCATCCATCACTGGTGCCCTATCAGCGTATACCGATAGCGCGGGTGGGGTTACTATTTCATTATCACCTATAAAAAAAAAGGTACGCGTTTACCAAAATTTTTAGTGATTGGTTAAGTCGTGAAGGCGCTATAAGGTAACAAACAAACTTACTTTCTCGTGTATAAAATTAGTAAGAATTATATATAACCCTGTTTGCACGCTTAAATAACGTTGACTGAATACCGGTGGGGAAAGACTAATGAGAACCTTACTTTGTTAAGGTTAGTTGGCCCACTGTTTGACATTGCTAGCCATTATATTTCCCCCCTTCCATCCGCCACTTTTTTTTATACAACTTAGAATGGCAAACAAGCTGACGGCTCACCTGATGGAAAGTGGTAACCTTCGCTTATAGACATGAGCAGTACCATGGACATAACAGAGTATACTGTTTCGCCCACGATAACCCCCATGCGTTGCCATTTCTGAGGACTCAGGTGTTATTCCTCTGTACTCAGTAAATTCACGCCATATCCCACCCTTCAAACCGAAACACAGCCACGCAAACACGACTGCTTCACGGTTGAAACACGAATGGGACAGAGGTACCCAAGCAATCGACTTTTGTACAAAGTCTCCCTCTGGTAGGTCTGGATATCCAATTACACATGACACGTTGTATTCTACCATGAAAACCAAGAAATATCTTTAATTGTATGCCCTTCCGCGATCAAGAAACATAAACGTTATTTTTTCCTTTTTTTGGGTTATGTGCGCACCAAGTCCATCATGGGCCCTATAAGGGACGGTATGTTGTAAAGTTATAAACACCGAGCTATCAATTAATAGACATCGCGTCACACGTCCTACGCACTTTTCCATGGCCACCCATACAGCTTGATAGACATCTCACTTAGTTCCCGCCTCTAAATTGGTACAATCAATTAGTGTCGGCTCCGAATGACGTGATTGCGTATGCCTTTGTGAAATACAGACTTAATTAATTCATAAGTATATAACACTGTCGCATAGTACATAAATATTAATATATATTCTAGTATCTATGTATGGGCTACTTGTTTAATTATACAGCACTATCATACCTACTTGTACAACAGTTAGTCCATTACCCTAAGGTTGTCTTGAAAAGATTGCTCTCAGCAATAAGACCGCCTTACTGTACTTATACAATTGTATCGTTGTGTTTGTAAATTGTCTTGCTTATTTCCTATATTGTATAATGCAAATAAAGTATACTCATTCATTCATTCATTCATTAAGTGTATTTCAGTAGAATTTAATGGAATGGATCGATGCGGAGCAATAAATGGGTAGAAGAAGATGTTTCTGCCCAGAAAACGGAGGCATGACATCGCTACATCAGTTTACTCGTTACCATGGTCAGTGTAACCTGGTCGAAACGCTAAGATTATCAGCCATATCCCTACATAGGGATTTTGCTGGTAGTTGCCATGCTTGGGAGGTGAGTTTTTTTTTTTTGATGGGTGAAAATGGTATGGTAACCCCGCCTGCGCTAACGGGATACGCTGGCGGAGCACCAGTGAAGGGTGATAGATGAGAATGAAAACAGGCCAGTTAGCTCATCATGGAGACTGAGAATCCCATTGCTAGCAATATACACAACCAGGTCGCCCTCCTCGCGGTTTTCCTTGAAAACTATCACGGTTAATTCCTGATGAATTCATCATGATGGGCTAACTGGCCTGTTTTCATTCTCATCTATCACTTTTTACTGATGCTCCGCAAGCGTATCCCGTTAGCGTAGGCGGGGTTACCATACCATTTTCACCCATCAAAAAAACTGTTATATATACGATAAATTTATCAACATTATTCTTTCAGACTCCGTACAGCCGCTGGCAAGAGATTTTAAACATTCGTATAAGGCGTCTTTTACCATTCACCACTCCATCTATACGTAATGACCCAGAAATCAGTGCATGTATACAATTAATACCACCAGACTGTGGTAACTTTTATTAAGAAACTCAACAATTGATACCGTAGGAGATTATTGCGATGAAAAATGACCTTAATACGTTAGAACGCATGTGGGCTGCTATAGAAACGAAATGTGCCCGTTATGGTCTTGAATGGGTTTTGGCAATCGTTTACACCCACCATGGGACAATGTTGTAATGCATAGGGCCATTAAAGTGTGGCCTCTTTTTGCCCAATTTGAGAAGAAAGGAGAGTAATGCTTCTCGTATGTAGATACACATATATGTTTGGGTCTTTGACTCAGTGCTAAAATGTCTCAATACATTTTTAGGACACTGGAAGATCTTAAAGGACTTTCTCAGACAATATATTTTTGTGTAATTTATTTATTTACTTATACAATAAACTTTTTTTTTTATACAACTTAGAATGGCAAACAAGCTGACGGCCCACCTGATGGAAAGTGACAACCGTCGCCTATAGACATGAGCAGTACCATGGACATAACAGAGTATAATGTTTCGCTCATGATACCCCCATGCGTTGCCATTCCTCAGGACTCAGGTGTTATTCCTCTGTACCCAGTAAATTCACGCCATATCTCATCCTTCAAACCGAAACACAGCCATGCAAACACAACTGCTTTACGGTTAAAACACGAATGGGACAGAGGTAGCCAAGCAAACGATTTTTGTACAAAGTCTCCGTGTGGTTAAATAAATATTATGCCTAGCATACTATGCTCTTTTCACCCTTAAAAGAAATCAAATAATCAGTTATATGGACTACCGCAAGATAACAGTTCAGTAAAATACTTTCTTGAAAAGCTGCTAGTGATTTCATTCTCACCCTGTATATCCCAGTCACGTGGCCAAAACCGCGAATACAAACTAGTCTCACCACTCGTATCTAGCACAACAAATTGCCTGTTACGCAACAGACGCCGGCGGGCAACAGTTAGCGGACGCGGCGCGATTGAATCCTAAGGTCGACCGAGCCGACGAAACCAGCAATGTACGAATGCTTTTGTTTCTGACGAGGTTAAGCGATATTTATGTGTTGCCCAATTGACAGATCGCTTCCCTTAACATTGGCATTACAAATTTTCTTTGCCTGTTAAATATGTGATAAAATTAACGTTTAATGGTTAACGTTAAGCAGACGGCCGGCCGTTTGTAAAACTATAAGCCAAATCTTTTTGTAATATGGCTAAAACCATACAACGCCGACCCCAATTAAAAATTGGGATAAGGTATCTTCCTAGATGATGAAATTAAATCAATTGCATAAGTTAAAAATGGCATGATTCTGTCAAAAAAAAAAATCTAAAAAACATAAGTACATTAAGTATCAATATCCCATGCTATCACCATTAAAACAGAGTGCGTATTTTTTTTTTAATGGATGATAATGGAATGGTAACCCTGCGCTATCGATATACGCTAACGGGGCACCAGTGATGGATGATAGATGAGCATGTAAGCAGGTCAGTTTAGCCTATCGTGACGAATGCGACAAGTATTAGTCACAATGGTTTCCAGGGGGAACCGCGTGGAGGTCGACCTGACAGGGTTTGTTAGCAATAGGGACTAATGTCCCCATTGGTAACAATGCCTTTCCCCCCAGAATGCGTATTTTTTTTAAATGGATGATAATAGAATGATAACCCCATCCGCGCTATCGGTATACATCGGTAGGGCACCAGTGAAGAATGATAGGTGAGGATGAAGTAAGTCAGTTAGCCCATCGTGACGAATTCGACAAGAATTGTTCACAATGGTTTCCAGGGGGAACCACGTGGAGGCCGACCTAATAAGGTATATTGCTAGCAATGGGGCTGTCAAACTCCATTGCTAACAATCCTTCCCCCCCCCCCCCAGAATGCGTATTAGGTAACACGTGTGTATGTGATCGGTCATTGTGTTAGTCATTATCACACGGAACGATAACAAAATATAGAATGGCTTATCGTTAAGTACGTGTCTAGGTGAGTGAAGACTGCAGCTATCTAGATATGACGACAGTTTAAACTCTCGTTTGTAACACATATACATACTTTTACCCGCGACTTTGTCCGCGTAGCCGGGATATGTTTTCTGAACCGATTTTGATAAAAATTTCTATGAAGTCAATCTGTTTTTTTATCTTTTCAGATAAAAAAAGAATTTCCCAAATCGGTATTGAACTGATGCTGTTATGAGGTAATAAACATAAAAAATACAACCGAATTGAGTACCTCCTTTTTTTGAAGTCGGTTGAAAACGCGTTATAAAATAAAAATTCTTTTATTTATTTATTTCAAGTTTAATGCACAGTAAAACTATGTACATATATGTATATAGCGGACTTAACACCGAACGGTGTTCTCTACCAGTCAACCATTGGGCGAACAGAGAAATAAGTAGGTGGTGTATTATTTATTCGAGGAAATATAAAAAATATATACTATAAACATATAATTAGACTAATATGAACACACACACAATATATTAAATAAAAATACGTAAATATTACTATAACAAACAAAAAACTGTTAAGCGGCTGATTCTTTTTTGTTAGCCAAGAAAGCATCAAAAATAAGTTGGTTTATGTTCTCTATTATATCATTGGTTATCCGTTATAAAAGTCATACAAATTTGTAATTTGATTATTTCCAAAAATTCATCGTAATAAAACCTAAACAACTGTATTAGAAGAGAAAATGAAATAATTAATGACTCGAGAGTAACTATAATACTCGTTTATTAAAATAAAATAATAAAACAATATTCCATGGTGTATTTTACTGTATTTGTAATTTAAAAAGTAATAGGCATAATATATATTCTTCTATTAGGTTAAACCCAAAGAAATTGCAAAAATAAATATGTAAATCGGTCTCAAGTTAACAAAGATATTGGCCGTGAAACGCCTGTGCCTTATTCTGTTTCGATTTGAAGGGAATATTGAATATTAAGGGCATTTGATATGGGAGTGAAATTAACGGGTACCGAGGCAAAATATCCTCGTCATCATCTCAGCCATTATCCGTCCACTGCTGGACATAGGCCTCCCCCATAGACTGCCATAAGGAACGGTCCTGAGCCACCTACATCCACTGACTCCTTGCAATACATTTGAGGTCGTCACTCCATCACTGTATACTCGTGGACATTGCAGTGTATTTTGTAATTTCCTTGATACTGTTCATGTGTTCATTGTTCATTTCACCAGAGGGAGACTTTGTACAAAAGTCGATTGCTTGGGTACCTCTGTCCCATTCGTGTTTCAACCGTGAAGCAGTTGTGTTTGCATGGCTGTGTTTCGGTTTGAAGGGTGGGATATGGCGTGAATTTACTGGGTACAGAGGAATAACACCTGAGTCCTCAGGAATGGCAACGCATGGGGGTATCATGGGCGAAACAGTATACTCTGTTATGTCCATGGTACTGCTCATGTCTATAGGCGACGGTTACCACTTTCCATCAGTGGACCAGTTTATTTGCCATTCTACAACTGCTCTCATAAAAAAGAAACTACAAACAAATGCTTGAAAAATCGAAACCCCAATCTACAAATGGCAGACACCACTTACTATACAAGCTCTACAGTGTAGAACGAGACAGATACAGTCCGCTAGAAAGAGAGAACCAACCCACGCCATAGATAAACACCACAATGCAATATCCGCATTTTGCGAAACCATAGCGAAAGATGCGGGCCACATGTGGGCGATGACAATTACCACTCGTAAGTCTAAAAATGTGCAAGCCCCCTGTTTTCAATTATTGAGATGTTTTAGGGTTCCTTACCTCGAAAGGAGAAACGGAACACTTATAACGTCACTTTATTGTTCGACTGTCGAATTTCTTTATCTAAGAACAACTTAGATTTAGATGTAAAACTAAAATTAATAAGAGTATAAAATACTAAGCCAACATAATCAAAAGATTTTTTTATACAATTTAGAATGGCAAACAAGCTAACGGCCCACCTGATGGACCGTCGCCTATAGACATGAGCAGTACCACGAACATAACAGAGTATACTATTTCGCCCATGATACCCCCCATGCGTTGCCATTCCTGAGGACTCCGGTGTTATTCCTCTGTACCCAGTAAATTCACGCCACATCCCACCCTTCAAACCGAAACACAGCTATGCAAACACAACCGGTTTACGGTTGAAACACAAATGGGACAGAGGTACCCAAGCAATCGACTTATGTACAAAGTCTCCCTCTGGTCAGTCAGATACAGCCTTTTATAGCGTATATTTAGGCATTTGCAAGGGAATCAAACAAAACCTATAGGGTAGTTAGTTCTCATTGAATCAGAACCATAAAATATGGCAAGCAGCAATGTTGTACAGCACAAAACAGTAAATTTGTAATTACATCATTTTGCAATTTTTTTTTTCAGTTATTATTTATACGGAACCCTTAGTGTACAAGTTCAACTCGCACTTCGTAATTTTTTATATTTTGATCCGTAAAAAAGCCACTTCTATTGTGAATACACACAACGATACCCGATTGTATGTCTGTGTTGGTTTGGGTATTTTCTATGGTATTTTATATTATATATTTATATCATTTATCTAGTCTAGTAAAGTATATATATATATATATATATATATATATATATATATATATATATATATATATATATATATAGAAACACTATGTATTAATAAATAGTTATTAACGCCGTAAACAAAAACAGCTAATTCAATAATAACAAAATTAAAAACACCATCGATACGCTATTTAGTCTAAAGTTCGCGTGCGTTACGTATGTGTGTTAGACAGTTTTCTATGGTAACACGTAGAATGGACCGCTTTATAGGATTAATTTAGCAACAAGCTTATTATAACAGTTCTGCTATTTGCATTGCGAATTATTTCGAAAGAGTTTAAGGTGGGAGAAAGATTTTATATCTATAAATAGATTTTGTAATATCAATGTAAGTGACACAGTTTTTTAATATCAGCTTAGATGTTTACTGCATCTTTTTTATGCAACTTAGAATGGCAAACAAGTTGGCAACTCAGCTTATAAAAAGCGTAAACCTTCACCTGTATACATAAATAGCTAATCAAATCTTTACACCATGGCCATCACAGAATACTCTAGACACCCATGGATCCTTCCTTCGTTGCTATTCCTGAGGAGTTAGGTGTTATGCCTCTGTACCGTGTAATTCTATTGCCACATCAAGCCCTCCCTTACCAGTGATCGTCGAAAAAAACAACTAAGGGAACTTAATTGTCGTGTGATGGAGAACAGCGTCCCTCTTCACCACCAAAAGCTGAACAGCGGTTGCCGATCTACCCGCCAAGTGTGCTTGCTTTTTTAGAGGCTTTTAGACCCAATAATGTCTATTAAGAGAAGAATTCATGCGCCACTTTAACTTAAACAAATTGAATGTTGGTCTTATTCAAACTATGTTAGCTGAACTTAAACCAGAAATTTTTGAACATCTCTGTAAATTAATGATGCCCATTAATTCTTCTCTTTCCGCGTCTAGGGAAGGTAGATAAAGTTTTGTTGGAGAAATCAGTTCAGGGTACAATAGGACTGATATACCTGAAGAAGGTAATAGCCCTTAAAATATTAAAAAAAAAAAAAAAACAAAATATAGGTACGTGTATGTATGTGCTTTGTATTGAATAATGAAGAGGAAAATAAATACAAATACATACATATATGAAATTACGCTTCCTCAACGTAAAGGATACACATTCCATTTTCGCTGAAGCAGTTAATTTAAATTGGTTATATAATAACATTGAGGAAGTACATACGATTATAATTGGCACAAATAATTAATGTTTGCTTAATAATAAAACACGAAAGCGTAATTAGCAACTGTAAGTAAAGACTATAAAATTCGCCTACTTGGGCACCTCTGTCCCATTCGTGTTTCTATCATGACGCAGCCGCGATCAATGTGTTTCAGCTTAATTTTTATTCATTCATTCATATCAGCCGTTAACTGTCCATTGCTGAACATAGCAACAAGGAAAGTTTTGCTAGTAGTTGTCAACTTGGCAGGCGAGTTGGTGAACGTTTGATTTATTTTAATGTTTTAATAGGGACGCTACTGCCCATCATTAAGTACCTTTAATCGCCTATTACGACATACACGGAAAAATATTGGACGGCCCATTCTACACCAGGTTTACACAGCAGTACCTACGTACATGATGTTAATTACCGACGTTTAAAACTCACAAAACATACAAATAAATAAATTGTTAAACTTCAGTAAAATGCTTAAAAACTAAAACTTACTGTGCCCAATATTCCTCCCAATTCTTGTCCTTGTTGGAGCCATATCCTCTTGGCAATGTGGCGGTTCTCGCCCTCCCGTTGAGGGAAGGAGACGACCCTCTGTTATCTGGCAAACTCAGCACAGAGTGCCTCTGAACGGGCTCCGATCTAAATGACCTCAGCGAACTCTGGGAGCCCATTTCGTCCGATTTCTTTGATAAACTGTTCTGCGATCCTCGCAGTCTGTTATATTCCAAATTGGGTTGACTGTATTCACTCTCACCATTCCTGTAATCGCCATTCCTGTATTCCCCGTTCAACGAGTGACTTCCCGAGTTAACCTCGCTGAAGACTCTAGCGAGAGGAGGCCGCGGCAACGGGCGTCTGTGCTCCACTCTCTCACGGCTGAACGACGAAGTCCGCTTGACCATTCTCGGTGATTCCTGAATATTCGTCAGAGAAGGCATTTTGGACTCCTTCTCCAAAACTATTTCGTGTTCCAATTGATTCTGGACATTAGCTAGCATTTCTTCCAAATCACACAAGTCTGGGTCTATGTTAATTTTCATACGACGCATTTTCGGAATGTATTAATATCACAGGCACTTCACAGTATCACTGTTTCTAATTAAAAACAAAATTAAAATCCAATTTATCGACGGATTCTTTGCTTATTTTTTAATTACGATTTTATTAATAGACGTTGCGCGACACGTTTTCACCCGACAAAGTCTGAATGACAACTGACTTCTGAACCAAACCAAATCGATCGTCTAACATTATCTTTGACGGCTGGTGCATAATACAGCACTTTTTCTGTACATTGTTAAGTAATAAATGCATGTTAAGCAATTTGTAACTGTTATTAGGCGGTGATTATCTGTTCTCAGAAATACAATGGCCCTAATAGGTAAATGGGCTGAAAATTTAATAGTTTGTAGTACAGCAATTAGAAGTAATTTAATGATAAGTACGGTGTTGAAGTAATTTGAATGGACAGATAAAAGAAAAACAATAAATAGTTTTATTGTTCCCTCTAAAATATAATTGAATGAAATTTAGAATAAAAAAAAACTATAATTTAAGTATATAAGTTGAATACTTAGCTAAAACAAAACCAGAACATTGTAGTACGGTAAGCAAGAGGTTTATACCTCTCTATTTATACCTATCTATAAGGTCTCTATTCTTATGAATAGAGACCTTTGGCACTCGGTTCTGTCTACTTCGCAAGGGACTTGATGTGAAGACAGCTACAAGTATTATTCCAAAATCGACTGTTTGAAAAAAGAACAAATTGCAATAAAAAATAATACGTACGTAGTATGTTCAACTAACACACCTTAGATTAAGACAATTGAAAAAATAGAGACAAACAAAGTACTCCTACAGATAGAGAAGAGAAGAAGAGTTAAAAAGCGATACTGTGGAGTAATAGAAAGACATTATGATTTCCGGTAAAAACAAATAGGAAAGTACTTGAGCTTAGCAGGAAATTTGCGAAGAGTAAACATGTTTTCAAAGACCGAAAATAAATCTGATAACAAGTAATCAATCGTGACAAAATTAATATTGACAGTAACAAAATATCTTGTAAACAAACATATTACATTCAATACAGTTATGCAATAACTAAAATAGGTTTTTTTTTTAAACAGGTGATAATGATATGGTAACCCCGCCGGCGCTATCGGTATACGCTGGCGGGGCACTATTGAGGGATGATAGGTGACGATGAAAGCAAGTCAATTAACGACAGTTTCCAGGGGGAACCGTATGAAGGTCGACCTGATATGACCAGAGGGAGACTTTGTACAAAAGTCGATTGCTTGGGTACCTCTGTCCCATTCGTGTTTCAACCGTGAAGCAGTTGTGTTATATACCATATCCCACCCTTCAAACCGAAACACAGACATGCAATGGCGTGAATTTACTGGGTACAGAGGAATAACATCTGAGTCCTCAGGAATGGCAACGCATGGGGAGTATCATGGGCGAAACAGTATAATCTGTTATGTCCATGGTACTGCTCATGTCTATAGGTGACGGTTACCACTTTCCATCAGGTGGGCCGTCAGCTTGTTTGCCATTCTAAGTTGTATAAAAAAAAACAGGTTATACAGTTTCGCCCATGATACCCCCCATGCGTTGCCATTTCTGAGGACTCAGGTGTTATTACAGAGGAATAACCCTGTAAATTCACCATTACTAACAATCCTTTTCCCCCCCAAATAGGTGTATTTAGAGGTGGTCCGGATGAGTCGTGCCCACATAGTATCATTTGGTGCCCACCCCAAGTAAGAACATAGCTTTGCAATGACATATCTGAGAGTACATATGCGTATTTTTAAGAGCCCCCACCCCCTAAATAGTAAAATTACTTTTTTAGCCCAATGGACTTATGAAGTCAGATAATACATGTAATAAATATAAATATTGGTTGGATATTAGAGTTCCTTATCACCTTTTAAAGGGTCATTGACTTGTGCCTTATCAATCTGGGTCATATATATTCAATTACTGACTGACCCGGTAAACATTGTTTTTCCGCCTACTGCCACCTACCGGATCTTTCTTCTAATTGGAATAAAACCTATCAACTATCTCAAATTGCACGATTCCAGAGTTTTTTTTCAATGGGGTAATAACCCTAGCTGCGCTAACGGTATACGCTGGCGGGGCACCAGTGAAGGATGATAGGTAAGTTAACCCATCGTGGTGAATCCGCCTGGAATTAAGCACAATGGTTTCCAGGGGGGACCGCGTGGAGATCGACCTGACAGTCTCCATCCCTTATAGTATAAGTTTATCATATTTCATAATATTTGGTTAAGTCGTCAAGACCCTAAGAGGTAGAAAACAAACTCATTTCACACTTACACTGTTATTAAGGATTGCTAAGAATAAAGAGAACATCGTGTACCATATATACATCTCTGTCTACCCCGACAAGTCTATATACACCATACATACGTACATACAATTTACATTCAACATGTTTAGCAATCACTTCCTATAAGGACAGACATCTTTCACCAGCGCAGAGTCACTTTTTGTAGTAGGCTTGACATTTTTCGCTAGACATCGTGGTATGTAGGTTGAATGGTTCTCTAGAGATTTTAAGAGACCCTCATATGTGTCGACCTGGACATAGATAGAGCTAGATGGCGCAATCTCTCAATCCGTATTAGCATCCTTTTAAAGAGCGCTTCATCAGCGAAATTGCACATTATTCTTAATCCAATATGTAAAAAAAACGACAACCAACTTTGTACCATGTCTATAAGCGACGGTTTTTTTAATGGATGATAATGAAATGGTAACCCCGCCTGCGCTAGCGGTATACACTGGCGGGGCACGAGTGAGGGACGATAGGTGAGAATGAAAAGGCGGGTCAGTTAGCCCATCGTGATTCATTCATTAAGTAAATTAATGAAGTAATTTAATGAAATAATTAAGTAAATTAATGAAGTAATTAAGTAAATTAAAGAAATAATAAAGTAAATTAACGAAATAATTAAGTAAATTAATGAAATAAAGTAAATTAAGTAAATTATTAAGTAAATTAACGAAATAATTAAGTAAATTAATGAATTAATTAAGTAAATTAATAATTTATTAAGGTAATAATAATTAACTAAAAATAAGCTTGCCTGTTGTACATCTTTATTTAATATAGTCTTGAATTATGCAATTTTTGTGTACAATAAAGTATAAAATAAAATAAATAAATAAGTATAAATCATAGGTAAAACGTAGAAAATTAACAGCCTATCCAAATTAATAACTTTGACAATACAGTACAGTAATTAGAGCATGATTAGTGTGTTAACAATAGATTAAATGACTTGAAAATGATTTCACATGGCCTTAATTGGTCAAGATTTGCAGAATGGTTTCTATTAATTCAAATGCACTAACATTTTGTTTAGTCTTTAATTGAATGTGACTCATACAATACTGTAATACAAAGTCATGAAAGTAATAACTGTCGCGTTTGAGTGAGGTGTCTTTAAATGTTTATTAGAAGAGGGATTTTTTTTTAATGGATGATAATGGAATGGTAACCCCGCCTGCGCTAACGGTATACGCTGGCGGGGCACCAGTGAGAGATGATAGGCGAGGAAAAAGCAGGCCAGTTAGCCCATCGTGACGAATTCCATTAGAACTGACTACGATGGTTTCCAAGGGGAACCACGTGGAGGTGGACCTAACAGAGTATCAGAGTAGCAATGGAACTGTTAGATCCCATTACTAACAATCCATTTCCCCCTAGAAGATTGATTATTCTACATGGCATAGAATGGACCACCCCCTCCTTTCCTGTGGGTGTCGTAAGAGACGACTTAGGGAACTTAATAATCGAGGGATGGACGGCAGCGTCCATCTTAAAACGTCATCAAAACCGCTGTTTGTCTATACTCTGTTATGTCCATGGTACTGCTCACGTCTATAAGCGACGGTTACCACTTTCCATCAGGTGGCATACTGAAATTGCTCCAGTAAATGGAGCCTAATATTTCGTTCATCATAAATCCTACCATAAAAGTCCAAAAGAACGATATTTTAACATTTTCAATATTTTTAACATAAAATTTCTGTTTCGTTCGGTCCCTAAATTTCGGAAAACATTTCATGGTAGTCCCTCTGTTGCTAGAGTTGTAAATAACACGTGTTACAGCATTTGTATTTTCGTCATTTGACTTTGTACAGTCGGAGGGAGACTTTGTACAAAAGTCGATTGCTTGGGTACCTCTGTCCCATTCGTGTTTCTACCGTGAAGCAGTTGTTTGCATGGCTGTGTTTCGGTTTGAAGGATGGGATATGGCAGTGAATTTAGAGGGTACAGAGGAATAACACCTGAGTCCTCAGGAATGGCAACGCATGGGGGGTATCATGGGCGAAACAGTATACTCTGTTATGTCCATGGTACTGCTCATACCTATAGGCGACGGTTACCACTTTCCATCAGATGGGCCGTGAGCTTGTTTGCCATTCTAAGTTGTATAAAAAAATATTATATATTTTACCACATCGGCGTGTATACGAATCCATGGCTTGCACCGCCTTCTAAGATCCGTACAACAAGATATGTTCAAATTGCATAACAATAATGCCATGTTTTGTAACGGACATACATTTTATGTACTGGAACGAATAAAAATAGTAATTAAGATAAAGTTACTATTAATATACTCTGTACTAACATTATATATGTATTCGTATTGCTGTGTGGTCCCGGCATAGAACGAGCCACTTCTTTCTGTACCGGCGACTATGGAACTTTAACGGTCGAGCGACGAGCAGCAGCGTCCCTTTTAAAACATAGTCAGATTCTAACTGCGGTTGCCAACCCGCCTGCCATGAAATGATGGTATAAGGCAGGGGGAAAGCACAAAAGATCCCGATGGGTCGACGTGCAACGACTTAGCTGATCCCATATGGGAAAATAAAAAAAATAAGAGAACCCGCCTGCCAAGCGTGGTAACCACCTGCATCACCTTCCGTATGCTCTAGGCGTATGTTCAGCAGTGGACTGTTAACGACATATAATAAAAGTAATCATAATATATAACAATCACGTTCTTAGTTCGTACACGCTAATCTACGAAATCGTCCAATTG